CACCATATACCAACACTTTTCTTTTATTTCATCATTAATAATTAATATTAATAAAACAATTTAGAAAAAATGTTATTAATTTATTCAAATTAAAAAAAATCAAATAGAATAATTTTAAATATTAATTTCAGTTACCATTCATTGCAATATACGCATTTAATAAGTAAATTTTAACCTATTTCTTGTGGCTAATCTTAAACAGACTATAGGTTACCTGTAATTAATTTCTTTTGTTCTCTCCATCCCATTACCTGTGCACCATTCCCACCTAGCCAAAACCAGTCACCTGTAACATTTTCCGAATTTTGGCTAAGTGGGAAGACACCCGCAGTTTCAATCGCCTTTGGGCAGATAATCAATCATGCATGTTATTTGGGTACACGTATCAGTGTTACACATCACTGAACATGCTGGTCAACAATGATCGTAATTTCAATCTATGTAATTTTTTAAAAAATTGATAAATGAAATGTGTAGAAATTTCTTAATTAATTTTGAACATAATCTGTGGTTTCCTTTCTGGTGATTTACAGATGTACACTCGAATGTTTACAAATAAAACACTTAAAACTGAGTATTATAGAGCTAGAATTATTTTGACAATACAATGCCTGAAAAATAATTCTTGGAAAAATTAACAAAGAATTTTTCAACATCCCAAGTACTTAAGAAAATGCCTTTAGAGTATCCCAATAGTATTGAAATTGGTCATGTTCTATATAATGATGGGATCTAATTAAAGCTAATTCTAGTGGAAAATAATCAATTCAAGTTTAATTTTCTGTATAAAAATTAAATATGGGAACCATTATCAATCACAGAAAATAAAGAAATTGAATTATGAATATACCAGATAATTGTGATTAAATATTCATATTCAGTGTACTACATATATGTGGGTACGAAAGCCTTTCTCCTTCAATAAATATTATTTCAAATTGTTTCTATGCGTGTACTGTTCATAAATGACCTTCACATACATGTAAGGATTCCTGGCATACTACTCAGAATCAATTTCAACTGCCTTTTATAGTTCCATTGTTTATTGGAAATCTCATTTCTGAGTTAGCGCCGCCCATTAAATTAATAAACCCCGCTCATTGGGACTGCTGGGACTGCTTTCTGGAACTGCTCTCTGGGACCGCTGGGACTGCTGGGACAGCTCTAGGACCGCTGTGGGACTGCCCTGGGACCGCTGTGGGACTGCTTTAGCAGTCCAAGAAAGCAGTCCCCGGGACTATAATAATTATATAGTGAAAATACGTTATATCTATGAAATTTTTTTTCTCTACTCCTGGGTAATAAGCAGATGAACTACCTAACGGTATATTAAGTTATGATGTGCAAGGGCTCTTCTTCCAGAATCGTGAATTTCAAGGCCCCTGGGTCAGGAATACCAAAGAGGAGGGGGGGGGCTTTACTTATATTCTGAAAATGAATTGTTTGAAATCTGCTCCTTGGTATTAATGAAACATTTTTGATAAGCAAGTGTGCCTTTTCAAAAATTATGCATTGTGTAGACCTAGGGCCAGGGGTTCATGTATGTCACCCCATTAAATTAATAAACCCCGCCCACTGGGACTGCTTTCTGGGACTGCTCTCTGGGACCGCTGTAGTCCGAAAAATCTTACGTTTTCCTTTTTTTATGATTTTGATATTTTACATGCCAGGAAAACGTCAGAACCGGCGCCATTACGTAAACTGGGAAATTGCCGCCTCCAACCAGAGGCAGCATTCTCGAGTTGATTTTAGATACTTGCGAACTGAATTAAATTTCAAATTCAAAAGTTATCAATAGTACAATACTTAAAGAAATTACTAATATAGTTTTTATGGTTCATTTGTGAAATAAATAATCCGTTGAAAAAGGTTTTATCACACTGTCGAGATTTTTCTTCATTTCGTGCATTTTAAATCTTGAATGTCCTGTTAATGCGAAACGTGGAGTGATATTTTCTTTTCATCGATATTTTTGAGTACTAGAGGCATTGTGCTTTTCATAAATTCTGATTTCGGCATTAAGGTCGGTTCACAAGTATCGAAAATCAATTCTGGCTGGAGACGGCCAAATTTCCAGCTTTCGTAATGGCGCCGGTTCTGACGTTTTCCTGTCATGTAAACTATCAAAATCGTAAAAAAGCCAGGAAAACGTCAGATTTTTCGGACTAGGACCGCTGGGACTGCTGGATCCGCTGAGGGACAGCTCTAGAACCGCTGTGGGACCGCTGTGGGACTGCTTTAGCAGTCCAAGAAAGCAGTCCCCGGGACTGCTCTGGGACTGCTTTGTGTCCGGTTGGGTCTGGTCGGTACTGTAATCGGCAAAAATAAGAACATATCTGTTGTCCCGACATGTCAAAATCAATTAAGTCCTTCTTAAATAATTACGACATACTTATTCGAATTACCAAGCACTGCAAACATTTTTCTTGTATTTCTTAGAAATTCTGGGAATAACAAAAAAATATTTTTAAAGGTATTGGAAAAAAATAAGGACATATTTGGTGTCGCGACTTGTTGAAATCACTTAAGGTCATTGGCAACGCAGGGTTTCCGGAGAACAAAGGTTTATACCCAGGTTTTTTCATTTATAAAAATAGTCATTGAGAGTGATCTCCCGTATGGAATTCTCTAGGCGGTGAAAACCAATAAAACGTGTGTTATAGACTGAAAGGTAAACAAAAGCACGTGTGTGTTTTTTAACTGATATATTTCAACTCTACAGTACTAAAAGAATAGCAGAGATGGATTTGTTTACATTGTGCTGAGGGGGCAGACAGCCAACAGGTCGTCATTTAGAATAAGTACATGTATGCTGGGAAGTGCAAAGAAGTGACATAATTATGCTGATAGTGGTGATAGCTAGGTAGACCAGTTGAGAACGATTCTATAGGTTTTGTGAAGGAGGCATCATTAAAAGTTAATAATAAGTCCTTGACAAAATGTTTAATGACAGTTTCTTTCAAATAAAGTAAATTATAGTATAGAAACAAACAACCAGTCTATTGATCATTATGAATAATAATTAGATGTTAAGGGAAGTAACTCAAAATCAAAGAACAGTGCTGGTATTTCTGTGTTTTGTTTTTATATTTGCAATTTGAGCCAAAGTATATGTTTGTCATCAGAAATTAAGATTCAACAATGTATTTTATGTGTAAACTTTGTGAAATAAATGGGTTTTCGAAAAAACTTATGGGTAAAAATAATATAGGACCATTTTATCAACATTTTACGTAGGAAATGCATTGAGAATTGTAAAAACATTGATGTGACAAAATCTTTAAAGGAAGGCTGGCTTGATGGGTAAAAAGGACCTGAATTGAACATGTTTGGTACCATTAAACCTGTTCAAAAGTTCTTGAAAAATTCTATACAAAATCCAGAAACGTTGCCAATGTCCTTAAGTCCTTCTTAAATAATTACGACATCATTTTACGAATTACCAAGCACTGCGAACAATTATTAACATTTTATATTCTCTTTATTCTACTCATGTAACACAATTTAACAAATGTGGCAGTACATAAAGTTCTCAATCAAGATGCGCAATCGAACTTTTGGTTAATCAAATTTTACGATTATTTTTCTCAAAAAAAAATAAGGAAATGAAAGAAACGAATTAATACATATAGAATCAGATTTCATAATATCACATACTAGTACTCCCCTGTAAAATTGTTAATCTGTCCTCATATTGTAATTATTTCAAATTTACATTATAATAAATAGATATAGATATAAACACGAATCAATGAACTCCTCCATTTCAGAGAAGGATATGGAGATAATTAACGAACAATATTCAATCTCAAAGTCGATAAAACAATACAAAATAAGAGCAGAGCAAACACGGACCCCCAAAACATCAGAGGTGGGATCAGGTGCCATGGAGGAGTGAGCATCCCCCACCGACCGGTCACACCCGCCACGTGCTCCTTGTCATGATCAGGAAATAACGGAAAAAATCCGTTGTCAATTCAATTCAGTGTATAAATAATGTACTGACAATTGGTATGAAAAACGTCAGTCAGCATTTGACTCAATGATAAATTGTATCTGCTGACAAGGTCATTGTATCGACCATAGAACTTACGAAATGATGACTTTAAACAAGACTGTTGATATTCTTGTTTCATCAACTTGCTTATCAATAATTTACCTTGTTTTAGAAATTGTTCATACGTAGAGCATGCTCTTGCGTATCGAATCAACTGAGATATATATACTCCTTATGCAGGTGATGAAGGTATATTGCTGCATAAGTAAGGGAAGTTGACGATAGAAAAGTTAAAGTCATCAAGTTTATCATATAGCTTGGTTGTTAGGTGAACATTAGTGTCTTTTTCAAGTAAAGTATCCAAGTATGAAGCAGAAGTGTCGGACTCTGTGGTATCTTTTATCTCAAGCTCACCAGGATATATCGTATCGACGTAGGAATGGAAATTACCATTATTAATTGACAATACGTCGTCGATCTATCTAAATGTCGAGTTGAAGGCCAAAGCATTTTTTTTCTTTTTTTTTAATAAGTCTGCTAATAACGGAGCGCAATTTCTACCCATGGGTATTCCAGTAGATTTTTGGAATACCTGGTCTTGAGTTTCTGACTGACAACATCTTTGTGGTTTTGGGAGACCAGGTATTCCAACAGTCTATTGGAATCCCCACGGGTACAAATTGCGCTCCGTTATTAGCAGACTTATTTTTACATTCATATGAAGCAGAATTTATGCAAAATCTAATGCGTGAAAAGAAGAAAACACTTGCTGTGGCCTTCAACTCGACATTTAGATATATCGACGACGTATTGTCAATGGATATATCAATTTTTCGAAATTAATCCAAAACTGGAAAATTACAACATTTTTGGAAAGGAAATTAAATAAATAAGTAGAACTTTCACAATGTAACACTTATGTCATCTAAAGGTACTTGTCATAGATAATGAAAATATTCAAAAAGTTAACATTCATGGGCAAATAACAACATACGTTGAGAATAACAAAATGAAAAAATCAAAAGCCTGAAAGGCTTCAATGGCGTCGAACAAGAAAAACAATTTCAAAAGATCTGCAAATAGGTCAAGTGAGTGACTCCAGTAACATAATAATAAAATTTAAAAAAAAATAGTCTTAACACAAATACAGTATAGGGCCTGATAGCCTTGTGTCCTGCTCCGAATGAGTCAGGGTTCGAATTGACCAGACATCGTCAGAAATGTCCATCCTCTATATCAATCTAATTTCTTTTCAGTCAATCGAAGACATATGAAGGGTTTCATAAATCATTTTAATTAATTGCCATTGGCAGAGTGTTGTTCTGTTGTATAGTGATTGCATCTTAACTACAACCATGACTCTAATGTTACAAGTACGATCGACTTACGATAAGGCGCGGTAAACAAATGGAGGAAATGGATAAATACAGTAATACTGGCATTACTGGTCAATATCGTAGGTTGTTCGGCTAAAACTGGACTGAAGATCGTAAAAGTAAAGCTAAGATTAAGAAATTCAATCTTTATAGTCTTGTTGTATTCGTGTTTATTTTGTAAGTATTTTACCGTATTTAATTAAGATTGCTTGTATTACAGTTATCGGTCCCAAAATGTGATTCATGTCATTCAACGCACCCTCTCAGTAGAAATTCATCCGCAACAACCATAACGTTTTTCTTGCGTAAAAATTAAACATAATATCGTTGTTTTGTAGTAGTATTAATTGAAGATACAATTGATTTAATTTTATATTCAAGCTATTATTCATTGTGAACGTTTTAAAAGAAATTGGTTTACAGCTGTTGCTATTTTCTATTGCGGATGCATCCACTGACACGTGCGGTCGCGTAAACCTGACTGATCGCTAGATGACGATCGGGCAAGCCCGACGCCATAAAAAAACAAATCATAAAATTTTCATTTTGCCAAAAAAGATTAAAATCTGTATTATCAATCAGCTATAAAGGTATAATTAATACACAATTCATTCTGATAAAGTGTTCAGTGTTCATTTTCAACTATATTAACATAATAAGCTTTGATATGTCCAGAAAGACAAGTTGAAAAAAGAATGGCAAGCACACTGAAAATGATATTGTTTAAATTGTGCAACATCTAGAAACTGTATGTTTTTTTTGTAATTGCAAACTTTGGAAACATGAAATATACGGAGATAACGATTCACGAACAGTATGCAAGCTTTACGTCCATTAAACAATACAATATAGGAGCATTGCAATCACAAACTTCCAAACACTGGAGATGGGACATCTGCCGACAGGTCACACCCATCGTGCACTTTTTGACATGATCGGAAAATAACAGAAATATCCGTAAAAAATAAGTTTGTACATGTATATAATGGTCTAATGGTTAGTATGAAACACGTCAGTATGCATTTGATTTAATGAAACATTGTACCGTATATACTCGCCTATAAGTCGGATTTTTGGGAGTTAATCTGTTGTCCAAAACTCTATGTCCGACTTATAGGCGAGTATAAAATGAATGGTATTATATGAGGTCAGTCCCTCTGATATATAAGCTTATCAAATACAACCGACTTATAGGCGGACCGACTTATAGGCGAGTATATACGGTATATGCTGACAAGGCCATTGTATCGACCAAAGAATTTAAGAAATGATGACTTCAAAAGATACTCCTAATATTCTTGTTTCATCAACTTGTTCGTAAATAACTCATTCATATGTAGAGCATGTTCTTGCATATCTTATCAACAAAGATATAAAAAATGTATGCAGGTGATGAAGGTATAAGTACTGCTGCATATTTAGGAAAGTTAACAATTGAAAATTTAAGTCGTTTCGTTTGTCATAAACAGTGGTTGTTATATTACCATTACCGTTTCTAGAAGGATATGGAGATAACGAGCAGTATTCAATCTCAAAGTCCATAAAACAATGCAAAACAAGAGCAGAGCAAACACAGACCCCCGAAACATCAGAGGTGGGATCAGGCAGCAGTGAGCACCCCCTGCCAACCCGTCACACCCGCTGTGTGCTCATTGTCAAGTGGAATTTCTTAATATGAAACAGATGTGTCAAACTCTGTCGTATCTGTTATCACAAGCTCACCGGGATATATCATATCAACACAAAAAATCGAATTAACTATTGTCAATTGACAAAATGTCGTCGATATATATATCTAAATGTCGAGTTGAAGGCTACAGCGAGTGTTTTCTTCTTTTCACGTGTAAGATACGGTAAAAATTGTAGGAAATGCAGGTTGTTGACTTATTACGCCACCTGCTTAAAAATAAGAGGTGTATAGTGATTGGGGTGTTTGTCTATCTGTTTGTAGGTCTGTCCCTCCTCCGTTACGCTAAATAAGTGAAAGAGTATATAGTGATTGCGATGTCCTTCTGTCTGTCAGTCGGTTATGCTATGGGGTACCCATCTCTTATCTGCAACTCCTCTTAAACCACTCTATGAAATTTGATTAGACGTTCAGGAAATCTATGTTACATAGTGCATTTCTGAATCTGTTATCATACTTTCTGATCGGACTCATCTTTTTGCCTCTGAATTTGTAATTGCAAAAAAAAAAAAAAAATACATGCTGTCATTCTTTCTATAATATTGAGGGATACCAATTTTTAGATGCAAACACCCCCAATACCAAGGAATAAAATTTAATACATGTACAATCTTTATTACATAATGCCACTGTACATGCACCTACCATTTTACTTTCTGATCTCACACTTATTCGGGATCTCCCATGGACTTTATTATTATAATCGTATGGGAGGTTGGGATATCATTTTGTGACCTCAATACTCACAGTACCTTTTGGTTTTTTAATAAAAATGTATGTAAGGGTATATTTTTCTAAATAATATTAACGGATTGCTTCAGTAATCAGATCATACGCAGCTCTTATAGACAACCATCTCTTATCACAAAACAATCTAATTTGATTTGCAAAGAGGGATTTATACATCAAAATGAGTATCAATAAAACTTATTGCTTACAAGCAACAGTCCGTCAATCAGTTTTATTTAGATTTTCTTTTGATGCACTATATCTAGCTATTAAGAGTCTGATTAGTTCATATCCAATTGTTAAGGAAAACTCTGGTTTCAGCATGTATATTTTTGGCACTCGACCTGTAAAATAAAAAGAATAACAAAACTAACTTTACAGAAACATTTTTCTTCTAAAAATAATTTTATTTTTGCATTAAATACAATTATAATTCTAATTCTAAATATTGGGTTGTTATAAAAAATATCATTTTTTTTAACGTTTTCTAAGGAAAAAAAATATCTAAATGTATTTTCTTCCATTCCAGATGCATTTCAATTAAAAGTTAAAAAAAACCCAGAACAATTGAGTTTAACACTTTTTCGTCAAAAATATAACATTATTTTGGTATATTTAAGTATGAGGAGGTGAGCAGATAATATACCATATTATTTTTCTTTTGTTCTCTGAGTATCAGAAAGTGTACATGTCTGTGACCTTCACTATGTTGCAATTCCTTGGGATGCCATAATAATAAATTTCAAAGAGAGAATATTCTAAATTTAGCTTCACCTGTCATGATATCTGCCCATTTAGCCAGAAATTTGTCTCCCTTCCTCTGAAGTGCTGCAGCAGAGGCATCCAGTAAAATAGGAAATCGATACATCATTTGACAAAATATCATAGACCTTTAAAAAAAAATTGGTACATCATTTGACAAAATATCATAGACCTTTAAAAGAAAATTGGTACATCATTTGACAAAATATCACGGACCTATAATAGGAAATTGTTACATTATTTGATTGAATAATTGTACATTGTTTAATGCCAAGTCAGCAATATTTCAGCCATATTTCGGTGATAACATCATTTGACAAAATATCAAGGACCTGTTAAAGGAAACCGGTAGATCATTTGACAATTGCTTGGTACATCATTTGACAAAATATCATAGAGCAGTGATAAGTAATTGGTACATCATTTAACAAAATATCATTCATAGTCCTCATAAAAATAAATTGGTACATCAACATGATCAATTGACAAAATATCATACATTTGTACACTTGTTGATTCCAGCATAAACTATTGCCAGAGGATAGAAAACTTTTTAACAGCTATATTTATGGGTTAAAAACTTTTACAAGGCTCCAAAATCATAAACAAGTGTGCCTGATATTCAGAACTCACCATTTGAAATCAAATCCGAATTTGTTCATCCATTGCTGATGATATAGCTTCATTACGTCACTGTCATAATTACCCTGCTTGATGGCCTCATCTAAAAATAGCGCTGCAATCTTTCCTCCCTCCATAGCATGGTGTATTCCCTCCCCTGTAGAAAACCAAAACATCAGTGACTGATATACTCTATCATAAATCTTACTAGAGAATTAATAGCATGGTGTATTCCCTCCCCTGTAGAAAACCCAAACATCACTGGCTGATATACTGTAGATTCCTAATTATACGCGAGGAATTAATTTCCGCGTAATTTCGCTAGAAGCATCGCTCGCGAATAAATATTACTCGTTTTTATTTTTATGGTGCTGAAATCAATGTAAATTCTGTTGATCAACCGTCCATTCGCGAATTATTATTCTCACGTTTTGACGTTAAAGAGCCAGTTCGCAGAAAAAAGCACTCGCGAAAAATAAGGAATTTACAGTACTCTATAAAATTACTAGAGAATTAATAGCATGGTGTATTCCATCCCCTGTAAAAAAAACCAAACACCAGTGACTGATATTCTCTATAATCTTACAAGAGAATTAATAGCATGGTGTACCCCTCCCCCCTTGTACAGCACCCCAAAAATTGTTGACTGATATACTCTATAATCTTACTAGAGAATTAATAGCATGGTGTACCCCCACCCCCACTCACCCCCTTCTTTAGAAAATCCAAACATCAGTGACTGATATACTCTATAATCTTTCCAGAGAATTGATTAAGTAATAAAAATTTCAGGTGTTATGGCATACTTCCAACATATTTAACAACATGGACTTTCTTTAATACTTGCACGTACTCAATTCAATGAAAACATGTCCAAGGGCCATAACAATCACCTGAGTATAATTACAACATTAATTGTAAAGGATGCTTTAAAGTATAAATATTTATAATTTTTTATAAAAACTATTATACATTTTTATTAATGAAATGTGATTGCTTTCTATTACTTGCCTGAGAGAGGATCTTAGTCATCTGTGAGGGGTCTAACTCACCTGTGAGGGGGTCTATCATTCCTGCTGCATCCCCCACAATCAGCACATGGTGCCCATAAGATACATCTTCTCCCCCAAGTCTTAAACTAGCTAAAAAATTAACACCATGATCATAAAATATATGCAGTACACCATAGCAATATTCTTTCTTCTACAGTATAAATGTAAAAGGTGAACAATCATAAGCAGTGATCAGTATCAAAAATCCATTAACATTTTATTTTTAAACAGAAACTCCTACAAGTTAGAAAATCTACTTATTCTGATCATAAAACAATATATTTTTGCTAGTAAGTATGCCAAAACTATAAAATTAAACATTGAGACTTTGAAAAATGTTATTACTGAAAGAATTAGAGTAGAAAAATTTCTTTTGTTAAAAAATTGTAAATATGATGAATTTGAAAGACACTGGCAGGAAATATTTGAAAAACTTTAAATTTTCTTTCCACTAGCTGTTCAATTAAGTGTGTGCCCTCTCATCTCTCTCTCTCTCACTCACTTTCTTTCTTTCCCCCTTTGTCTCCCCCTCTCTTTCCACATAAACTTTCACACTAGTTTTTATTATTATTTTTTTTTGTTTTTGTCTTTTGCTTTATTTGTATATGTATTTATGTATACGTCTCTTTCATATTTGTGTAATTTGTGTGAAAGTTAAAATAAACTTCTCATAAAAAAAAAAAAAAAAAAAAAATATTCATCTGTGAGGGGTCTAACTCACCTGTGAGGGGGTTTAACTCACCTATAAAGGGATTCATTTTATATATGTAAGGAAGGTATAAACTCGGATCTCTTGAGATTACAGAGGTGGGATCAGCTGCCATGGAGGAGTGAGTATTCCCTGCTGACTGCTCCTAACCCACCTAACCCTATGTCTCCTATTAGAAAAATTAACAACTTCTACAATATAACAGTCTAGGTAATTATTCAAAGCCATTAATTTATCATATTTTAATTCAAAAAGTATAGAATTCAAATAACATTTACAGAAAAATAAATTGCAAAAAACAGCTAAAATTGCCAAGTTTTTGTTATGCAGTGTTTAGCTGGGCAACAACATCATAAAATATCCAGTACAAGACAGCAATTTCCAGACTTCTACAGTATAAGATGTAAAAGTTAAATATCATAAGCAGTGATCAATATTTAAAAAATCCATTAACATTTTATATATGTAGGGAAGGTATAAACTCGGATCTATTGAGATTACAGAGGTGGGATCAGGTGCCATGGAGGAGTAAGTATTCCCTGCTGACTGCTCCTAACCCACCTAACCCTATGTCTCCTATTAGAAAAATAAACAACTTCTACAATATCATAGTCTAGATATATAATTATTTAAAGCCATTAATTTATCATATTTTAATTCAAGAAGTATAAAATTCAAATCTTATTTACAGAAAAAAAAAAATTGCCAAAAAATGCTAAAATGCCAAGATTTTGTAATGCAGTATTTAGTTGCAATAATTAAAGCCTCTCTATTTGTTTCTCTCCTGAAAACATTAGATTAAAAATATCACAGGGGGCACAATAATTGCCTCTTTGTAGTGATCATAATATTATTAGTTACACAGTCAGTTAGTGACCTAATATGGATTCATACAGGGTGTGAAATGGAAATCGCTATTGGGCGAGGCGAAGCTGAGTCCCAATACGGATTTCCATTTCACACCCTGTATGAATCCGTATTTGGTCACTAACTGACTGTGTTATGAATTTATCCCGCTGAAGACCTTTTTCAATATAAAAAAAAATATTTGTGCATTTTAGGCCAGATAAAATTAATCTTTAGATTCTCATCCCCGCCCACCCCTTTCAAAGTCTCCCGCCCCGGCGTTTTTTATTTTGATTTTTTTATGTTAATAAAGGCATTTTCATGTATTTTCATTCAGCAAGAATATTGGTCGAAGTTTAGGAGTTATCTCCCTTCTGTATTAAAAGTCGCGTGTCGCTATTTATAGCAAAAGAGCTATGTGAAGAATGGAGAAAAATCGGCAATAAAAGCAGTTTAAATATTTAAGGAAAAGATTATTTGTCAGTATAGAGAAGGCAGAGAAAAAATGATAGCATAAACACATCTAGATACCATCACTGGCATGAGCAAGTTTTTTAAGATTATTTAAAACTAAGTATAAAAATAGACATGGAAAATGACACCTGATCAAGTTCTAATGATCTCCAACTGTGTGTGATTTTGATTTGAAAAAAAAAAATAAAACATCGTAGGCAGACTTTAGAGAATGTTTACTGCTAAGAAAATGTTAAATCTTAAAACTGTTCAGGCCTAGGTTCTTTCGGTAGGATATTTTATTAGAATATTTTAATATAGATTTTGTAAATATGACCTATTTCATTGTCAAACATGTCTCTTGAACGATCCAATTTTTGAGGAAGGTGGAAATCTATGATATTTTACAGAAAACAGAGGAATATGAAGGTAAAACTCAAGGGTATTTAGGGAAAGGCCGATGAGAAGTCATGCATACAAAATTTATTGGTATATCGACAGTACCCCACCTCATTTTGTTTTGCATGTGCCATATATGTGTACTTGATAATTTGTTAATTAACAATAAATATCTAATAATTTAAGCAAGAATTTTCTTTAAATATTTAAAAGAATATGAAAAAAATAAAATCTATTCATATTAGCATTAACATAATGAAAAAATGATACTTACAATTTAACAATTATAAAAAATAAAAAATAAAATCCGCCCACCCGCCCCAATTTTTTTTAGCAAATTAGGATGAGAATCTAAAGATTAATTTTACCTGGCCTTATGAAAATATTAAGTTTTAATCCAATAACAATCAACATAAAATATCGTTACGGTAACAATAAATTTAACTAAACTACCTACGTAAACTGTTTCTTAGCCGCCATTTTTATTTACAATAACAACGCTTCGAACAGAATCGCATGCCCAATTTTCATAGACGTAATACGGAAAATTTCAGGACGTCATGTGATTAGCTTTTATTTGTCTGAAGCGGGATAAATCTTTATATTACATGTCTAATAGGTTATCATTGTTAACAAGCCATTCTTTTCTAAAACAGTATATTAAACACAACATAAATTCAGACAGGCTCATTCTACTATTTTCACCTCTCTCAGGATTTCTCCTCTCTTATTTCAATCTTCACTATTACTCTCTCTGTTTTTTTAATTATAAATCCTTCTGATTTCAGTTTACCTGCATTCATTCTCTCTATCTTGGCTTCTTTACCCAGGGCTCGGCTGATGTTAGGATCCTTTGTCTGCAGGTTGTCATGCCAATATTTAAGGTCATCTGGGGTCACCTTGGGGTTACCAGGAATAATGTAAACACAGTAGTTCAGCTCATCATTTGGATGGCGGAAAAGTGCAGAGTAACCTTAGAATTAAAACAGTTACATGTATTACATCATTTGATCATCATCAAATACAAGTAACAATCACTAAGGGCCTCACTGAGAGATATTTATCAAGGATACTAGTGTGGTCAGGGCAGAACATTGGAATATTTATATATTAGGTTACAAGTGGGGAAAGACTCAAATTTGGGGATCTAGGTTACCAGTGTGGTATTAATACCTGGTAACATTTCCTTGTTGTAAAAGACAACTCCATCGGCTTTGAATTTGTGGGTTCCTCCCTCGACATAAGCCCTGGAACATGTGCTATCAGGGGGGCGTGAAATCAGGCCGAGCTGTGTGGCAAGTCTGGAGGGGGAACCATCGGCACAAACCAACACCTGATATAAAAAAACACAAACAAGAAACCTAAAATTAAAAAAATACACAAACACCTGATATAAAACAACAAACCAACACCTGATACAAAAAAACACACAAACCAACACCTGATAAAACATTTTTTATAACACAAACCAACACCTGATAAAACAATAACATTTCTTAATAGTCACCTTCTGCAAACAGAGATCTACAATGCTAAGGGTGTCTCTGTGAATCTTTCTACAGAGAGTTACCTACCTTTGCTTAAAAAGTGTCTGTTGATTTTGTCCTAAAGAGTTATTCAAGCTTATTTTGAGAGTGACTAAAAAGAGTTACTTGTCCTTACTTTGAGAGTGTCTAAAAAGAGTTACTTGCCCTTACTTTGAGAGTGTGTTCTCACAGTTACCTGCCCTTGCTTTGAGATTGTCTACAAAGAGTTACCTACCCTTGCTTTGAGAGTGTGTTCTCAGAGTTATCTACCATTACTTTGAGAGTGTGTTCTCAGAGTTACCTACCCTTGCTTTGAGAGTATCTGTTGATCCTTCCCTATAAAGCGTCCACAGACCTGTGGAGTTATCAAACTTGGCTTCATTTACTGACCACTCCTCTCGTAGATCTGCACCTATTCTATACAAACACAGAACTCATAGAAAATATACAAACACTGACCTCATAAAAAATATACATACATTTATCTCATAAAGTAAACTTTAAGGTTATACGGTCTTCTATATTAAGTATTATCGCATTGATGTTAGGATATAATGCATAATTATCTTAGTATTTTAACTTGGTCCTAACATTTAAAATTTGTTTTTGAATTGACAAAATATTTTTGTCAATTGCAGGTAAATCGAAATAATGAACCGTGCATACTGACCCCTTTTAGTAAGTTTTTTTGAGAGTTAATCTTTGGTCCAAAACCCCTTAACAGACATGCAAACAGACATACAAACAGACAGACAGACAGACAGACAAACAAACAGACATACTGACAGACATACAAACAGACTTACAAACACACATACAAACAGACAGACAGTCTGCTGGGTAAAATGATACCTAAATGTCACTTTGCTCTTCAAGCAAAATTGTGTAAATCATGTAACATATGCATAAAATGTTACCGGTAATTCTTTTTTTTTTCTCTCCCCTCACTAGGACTCAAGCCTTCAGATAAAAAATCCATATTTAATATGCCATACTATAGATCCTACAGCTGTTTGTCATCCTAACCTTCTAGGGCTGAGCTCAGTGGACTGGTTCCCAGTGTGGGAGATTCAATGACTCCCATTCACATCACAGAAAAACTGGGTAAAAGCACATGATTTTAGCCCCATGACTTGGAATTTCTCAAAACTATTATATCCTTAATATTAACAGAGTGATTTCTCTATCTAGAACTATAACCCTGCATTTCTGTTTTAATTGCTCTTGTGAGATCAGACACATTCAGGATTAGGCCTATAAAAGGTCACAGTTTTTAGGAAATGCTTCAATGAAGTAGAAAGCCAATTGATGATGAGAAAGAACTTCAGCTTTAAATAATGCTTTAGAAATGATGAATTGTACCTCTTGGCAGCTTTTGCTATGGCCTCATCAAGATGAAGACGTTTACATGCAATGGCTGCTGGGATTTCTCCGATGACTTCTTTACTGCGACCCACGTAACTAAGTCCACCAGGGCTGCATAATCCCCCACTATCTGCCTGGTAATTAAGGTTAAGAACATTAATTAATGTTTACAAATTAATGGTACATCTTCATAATTGTCAACTTATAAAATGATAATTTGAGTTATGAACTTTTTAGTATTACCTAATTTGTACCCAGACGGGGTTTTCTAAGAAATGAATTTGAATTTTGTGAATTCGTGAAAACATATGAACTACGACACTTCATGCTCACAAATTTGATCAAGCGTGTTAGCTACAGTTCATGATATATATGCAGATGTGAAGCATCCTAGTTCATGTACCTCATTAATTCTCAAAAATTAAATTCATATCAGATATTAACATTTTTGTATGATGACCTGCCATATAGTTTTGTCATTCAATGGTGATTTTTTTTTTTTAAAAAGGTTGCACTATTTCTTACTAAAATTACATCACTATGGAAATATTCTTACTCGTCCCATGGCATGAAAATGTGAACATTTTCTAATTTGCAAGGAATCTAAGGGAAATACCTAAGAAATCTTTTTAAGTTTTGTGTGAATTATTGGTGTGTGGTGACTTATCACGCACTAGCTCTGCATGAAAATATGCCTACATGCAAGTCTGTCTGATTCACATACCAATAATTAAATCACAACTAGAGCAAAGCTCGTTGCAAAGCAACGAGTAGGTCTTCCGTCCTGTTTTGACCGGAAGTGACGTCAACAAAAGAAAGCAATGAGCTAAGTCGTCTCCAGTCACTTCAATTTCAATTTTGCATCAAAACCTTAAAAAATAAGCTATTTTTGGCTACTTCCGGTTTGACCGGAAGTGATGTTGACGGACGGAAAATTAAGTTTTATGCTTCCTGTGACATATGTTACCTAAAACTTGTCAAGAACGGCAAATATATGCATTTTCTGACGACTTCCGGTTTGACCGGAAGTGACGGCTCTTTTGACGACTTCAATAGATTAAGCTTGACATTTTGAACAACTTTGCTTCTTGGACGTATTACAAATTCTCAATACTTTTTGAGATATTTGGAAAAAACTTTTGGCCCCTCTAGATCCCTTAATTTAGGGGTCAGCCATTTTTTTGAGATATCATTTGAAAGATCTTTTAATTCTGCACAAATTTTGTTCTATATGTTTTAACAAAATATTTTTAGTTTAGAAGATAAAAAGCAAAATATGTGTAAATTTTCGCTCTTTTAGGCGTTCTAATTTTTGACCCCTGTATAGCGCCATTTTGAATAGAGAAATCGAAAAAGAAAAACCGATGTGCACAACTTCAATCCTTCTATTATCTAAAATCAGTTCAATTTCTGCTCCAGCTTTAGCCGTCTCTGAGCCTTTGTCTGGAAACGAAAGCCTATAAATTTTCGTTTAAAGGAAAATAACTCAAAACCGGAACTGATTTTTTGAAATTTTAGACAACATTCTGATAGAGTTTAGTAACTTCTAGAAGCTCTGAAAATTTGAGCGAAATCAATTGAGAAATGAGAGATATGAGGCTTCAAAGTTGGCGTCTAGGAAGTAGAAGAAAAAAAAAAGAATAATAATCTTTACCAACAGAATCAGTAGAAGGTCTTCCGTTGGAAACGGAAGACCTTAATAAACTTAAAAACATTCCTTATATTTACATTTTCCATGTCGTAAGGCACTAATAATATCTGAATTCCTCGCTGTTCTATTTTGTTGCATTTTTCTAAAGTATCTAGCCTCATTGTTACGTCATGTTTATAGAGCATGTTTCTCCATGTCTATTGCTCACATTAGTATACACGAAAATAGTTTTTAAATCGATTTCACTGTTGGTTTACCTGGTACTCGAAAACACAGCAAATGTCATGATTTGGAAATATTAATATAGATGTGTAAACTTGATTTTAAATTTTTTAGATTTCAATGTTTAATAAAGATGGAAATCTAGGAAATTGGCCGTCTATAACTCTATTCAACATTTATACTTAATTTAAGGTATTAATATTTCTCAGCTTTGTAACAATATAGATTTATAATACATACCACGTGCGCTTTGTTTTCTCGGATGAGTTGGTCATAAATGCCCATATCCATCAGAATCTCTATGGCCGTCTTACACACTGCGTCCCCGCAGTATTTATCTCGAGGAAATTTTTTCTTCTCTAAGAGCAAACACTTCCAGCCCAGCTTAGCTAGAATTCATTGAACATTTTCATAAGATATCTTAAGAATATAAAAATTAATTTACAATTCTCCAGAATCTAAGTTTTTAAAAATCATTTACATAAAATTAATAGTTATGTTTCTATTATTGTATTTATATGTATTTAGAATATATTTTGAAAAATCTGTTAGTATGCAAACATTTATATGTATTATGCATATATAATTTATCAAAAAAGAAATGATTTATTATAACAGACTTGTAAAAGAAACATGCACGCTAACTCTCGATTCCCGCCTACATTTTGGAACCATTTAATTCAATATAAATAGCAATTTGGCCATAAAATCTTTGTTTAATACAAAGAACAGTTCAATGGTAACTGATAAATCGTCTTAATACCAGCGCTAAACAGTAAATTATCCATAATTCCAGCTGTTGAAAAAAGGGGGGTAGACGATATTTTCCATTGAAATCAGAGTTTCAAGCATAACCTTATTTTGAAATAGTCTTGGATATGATCAAATGTTCCTTATATCTTTTCTTATGTTTTAGGCAAATAAATAAAACATAAATATTTCAATAAAATATAATGTTTCAGTGGTATATCGTTTTGAAATTGGTGGAAAATAAGCATTTTTATCGTTTTTTGTCAATAAACATATGTTCCACCCCGTGTCACACAAAAAGCTTTGGTATGAATTTGTGAAATAACATTTCATATTAGCTGTAAAAAGGAATTTTTGTGACACGGGGGGGAAAGATGTTTTAAAAATATTTTCCGTTTTTCGTTGATTTCTATAGTGAAAAACACAAGTTTTACCAAAATTTTAGAGTTATCTCTCTTTGTTTTCCCAAATAAGTAATGTTTTATTAAAATCCATATAATTAGCTATAATAAATATTAATAATTCATCGAATATGTTAACTTTTGAAAATTGACTTGGAGGTAGGCGGGAGAACAATACTGTCGTTCGCAGTTCTTTTATTCATGATGATACATGTATTTTATAAGTTTAAAATATTTTATAAGAATTTTGTGAAAAGGGTTACAGGGGAACTAATGCATGCACTTATTGTTAATCATTCTTATAATCAAAACTCAGAAGGCATTAGTTGATATGGCACTTTAGGGACCCTGAATTTCTTGCTATCAATATCAGCCCACCTATGACCAAACCTGCCTGACCACAACATAATTTGAAATTTTATATATTGTGAAATGCAGTAATTGGTGGAATAACATGTTGATATGTTTATGTAACGGGAGAGGAGAAAATGCAGCGGACCAGACCTGGAAACGAACCCGGGCCCCCTGGATTAAGGGTCAGATGCTCTACCAACTGAGCTATTTAGCCACCAGTGATCCAACCCGGCTGACCTCCACATTCCTCCTTTCTCAAAGGCCTTTGGCCGCCCCCCAAAGACCCCAACCCAGGCTCATCCCGGCAGGTCTTTCACCTGTCAATTCCAGGGCATGGCACAGCACCAAATGTAACGGGAGAGGAGAAAATGCAGCGGACAAGATCGGTCGGGATTCAAACCCGGACCAGCTATACATTTTCTCCTTTCCTGTTACAGATTTGGTGCTGTTGACCACCCCTGGACTTGCAGGCGAAAGTCCTGCCAGGGGCTAATAAGAACTTGGGTTGTGTCTTCGAGGGCAAAGACAATTTAAGGAGGGAGGAATGTAATGGTTTGGGCTGTGGATATCAGCCTAAGTAGCTCAGTCGTTAGAGCACCTGACTAGTGATACAGGGGTCCCTGGTTGATTCCCGGTCCAGCCATACATTTTCTCTTTTCCTGTTACACTTAAATTTTTTTTTAAACCAGTGTCGGATTTAGGGGGGGGGATAATAAATAATTTTTTTAGTGGTGTGCCGTGGGCCCAGTAACCCGGCACTTAACAATTGTGTGGCGGTCAGCTGGGTTCTATCAACAGTGGCCAGATAGCTCAGTTGGTAGAGCACCTGACCGGAGTTTCTGGGGGCCTGGGATCGAATCCCAGTCTGCTCTGCTGCATTTTCTCCTCTCCTTTTACACTTTAAAAGTGTGAATTTGACTATTTATAAACTCTTTAAACTCTTATACCCTTTTTTTATTACCTAGGTAATAAGCGCAGGTACTTCCTGCAGGTCCTGCACCACAGATTGCCACATCATAGTGAGGTTTTTCTTCATTCTGTAAAAGAAAACCTCAATGTTTCAATGTTTGTGAACAGCTGATACTAATGTCAACAAAACAAGTTAGCTCCCTTTAAGCATTTTGTTGCCTGCACATTACCGTATTTTATCTTTATGATTACCTTGATTTTATCATCTGGGTATTTTGATGGAAAATCTGTAATTTTTTTCTGGCTTTTCCTTTTGTGATATATGTACAGGATACATGTAAATATGATGACAAGACATGAAATCTCAAAAAACTCCATTGCAACTCAGAACTGTCGGAGAGCATGCATGCAGTCATTCAGTGACCTTTTACACTTTAAACTTTGAACACGATCGCATCACGAAAGAAAGTTAGACTTTTTTGATGCGTGTATTTTTTAGAAAAATATTTTCTTGACATTTTTAAGCCACTGTAAATATTTATCCAGATAAATAATTTTTCTCTAAATCCAAATTTACTGCGAAGCTTTTATTTCTGCGGTACAGCTGACGTCACACCCGTTCCACCCCGTCGACTCAGAGAACACACTGGAAACGGAGCAACCAAAATCATGCCGTCCTCTCCCAACATAAGCGAGTAGTAAGTGTAATTCTGTATCCATCAGACATTCGTTTGGTTTACTATATCGGGAATACGGTGGTGAAGTTTTTTTGTTAGCGGTTGTCGGCTTTTTGCCCTAGATCTTCTCATGTTTATTTCTAGCAGCTGATCAGTCATCAGGGATTTCCCAGTCAAACTACTGATTATATTTTGTTAAATAATGAATGAGAATAGATAGTCTATTCCGAAAAAAAAGACGTTTTAATTATTGGGTCTTGATATGCTCTCACTCTTAGTCCTTATATCTATAGATTTTTGACATGGACTTGCTTTCACATATGGGCATTTGGCAATCACGATCCCTTAGAAAACATTGCTGGTAAAAGTAATCACTTAGTCGAGGTTCAATCAGTATATTTTCTACACATGGTAGTTTGAATTAAAATCATGTGACCAGTTCCGAAAATTGACAGTTCTAAATAATTAATGAACTGATCATCTGATGATCATGATGATAATAAAATAATTCAGAAGTGTAAAAATAAATTATACTTTATCTTATGGTTTGAAGGCTTATTTATGAAGGTATGAATTATGTGAAGTTTTCATTTTTACCATCGGTTTGCATTCGCTATCATGCTTGAAACAGTTGACATACCTTTACATTGCAACAAATCTGATTCACCGTGATGTGTCTGCAGAAAAACAGAGATCTGTAAAGACATGTTTTTCACATAATAGCTATAATCATATGGTCCATTTTGAGTAGATAAAAGATTTAATCAATTAATTAGAACATCACTAATCAAAAGTAAGTTTGATGTGTATTTTAACATACACTGTAATCTAGCTTGCCAAAAGTAAATAGATCACCTGAAAATATCAGAATATTTTCGTGTTGTCATTTTACTTTTCCGAATACCCATTACTGAAGTCGAGATGTGCTTATTCTATATCCCCCACATCATTGTCGTTTTTAGCTTCAGGGTCCCTGTTAAAAATTTAGGAGCAAATCCATTTCCAAGTAACTATTACTATTAGCCCTACCTAGAACAAATTTGCATGGACGATACATCTAGGGATGGACACTACCAGACTTACTTTCAATGCTGGTTCTGACCTACATTTTGGAGCAAAAACTATATACCCTGGAATCTTTGTCTGATTACAGTGGCATGAAATTATGAAATGTTGAGATTTTTGTTGAGGTTTGAGTAACAAAATGCTCCCTAATTTTTAGGCATCAATGCAAACAGTCAAACACATGCATGTATATGTTATATTTTATTGCAGACTTAATTTTTACTTAGGACAGGTTACTTAAAATTGCTTGTATAACACTTTCAGATTGATAGTAAGATTCAGATACTTTTAGTTCAATAGAATTTTTGCAAAGTTTTAAAAATTTAAAAAGTTTCTGGGAAGAGATTCTACAATGATTAATTTTCTTTACACAATGGGAAAATTGTAATTAGACATTACATTGAAAGATTAATATTGAAAAATTGCTGCTGCAGGGGTGGTGGTAAGAAATATGTGCCATCTAATTTCCTATTATTAATTTTAAAACACACACAAAAAAATTAAATGAATCAAATACTACAAAATAAATTATGAAGGATGCCTAACACCCTAAACAAAAACCTTAAAATCGTTAAGTCATGATGTGACTGACAAGTGGGTATTCCCTTGTCATAGCCATTTAACAAAGAAACACAACGTACAATACTACATTTTGGGAGGGGGGGGGAGAAATTCAATATACTTCACTTTAGACTCTCTTGCTTTATCTTAATTAATATCATTTTCTTTTAACCACTACACTTAACAATAATTTCAATATACGAGAGCTGATAAAATCAGCTGTTATCAGTTGCTTTGTAGTTTCGTTTTTTTACTTTCGTTTTTAACACAATGTTTATCATATCATTGTATTTAATTAATTAATTTCTGTTTTTAATAAAATGATATTTAATTAACCTCTAAATCTGTGTGGTTCACCATGCATATACCCCTTCAAATGGTTACGTATAATCCCCTAAATGCTCCAGGCATATTACCTGTACAGCTGTGTCAGTCTGCGATCAAGCGTGAAGTGATTTCCTGTGGCTAATTAACAGTTTTTTTAACACCTGGCAAACAAAGATACTATTCTGTGTGCATTGAATAAACAAGATGTTCATATCCTGATTTATAAAACACAAATCGGAAATTTTAGGATGAGTTTTCAGATCTTTCTTGTTGAGACAAACATGCTATGACACGCCGCGGGTCATTATGATTGCACTTGGTGAGAGGTCAATTTTGCGGGTGTGACCCACCGAATGCGGGTCACTTGGCAGGTCTGGATTTGCATCACTAGAACTGTGAACATTCTTTGAGATGAACTTTATAGTCTGGGTTTCTCCTTTCCCATTACACTAGTGCTGTATGTACCCTGTCCTAGAAGTGGCAGGTGAAAGACCGGCCAGGGAAGAGACTAGGTTGGTGTCTTTTGGGAGGGGGGAGATTTAAGGAGGGAGGAGTGTGGGTTTGATCACCAGTTTTCAGAAAGCTCAATTAGAAGTGCACCTGCCACCTGGCCATACCTGCAGAACTGCAGCTCTCTGGTTGAGAAAATTCAGACAGTTAAGCGAAAAATCAAAGGTTTTTACAACACATGGATCTGTAGCTCTCTGCATTATCTGTCCAAATTTTCTCAAGCAGAGAGCTTCAGTTCTGCAGTTAACCTGGCTAGAGATTTAAAAGGTCTGGTCACATTTATCTCATCTGCCATTACATTTGGTGCTATGAGCAAGATCAAATCTGTAACAGGAAAGAAAAAAAAATATATCCATGGCTGGACAAGAAATTGCACTTGGGACCCCAGGTCCCCTGTATCACTAGTCAGGAGACCGTTTCATCAACAAATCGTAAGCATACCATTACATTTATGATCGCCAAACGTGCACGCAACACCTAAACGAGCATGTCACTAAAGTTCTGGTAAATGTAGCACTTACGACTGGTGAGTTATGATCAACTTAATGGAACTCTTCAGGCTAAGGAGATGTTTTTGATTGATTGATTGATTGATTGATTGATTGATTGATTGATAGAGAGAGAGAGAACAAACGGAAGGAAGAGATCATTATGAAGTCGAAATATCATTTTTCTTGGTCTTCAAAAATTAAAAAATTAAAAGATAAAGATATAAAGGGGCTGCAGTAAATTGATAATTTATGAAAATATTAAATATATATTTCATGCAAAAAATTAATTGACAGATCTTCTATTTATCTATCTTAATTTACATTCTTGCATTTTATGTCTTATAAATGAACAAGTATTTGTTGAATATATTTTTTTATCCAATTGAATCATGGGACAAAATAAACTATTTGATAAAGACACTTCAAAATTGTGACTAATATTTATGACTAAATAAGAATGATATGGTATTTCAAAAAAGAAAAAAGGGTCATTTTATTCTACAAAAAAAATTCTGCCATAAATTATAGTTCCTGGCTTAATCCTATTTGAATGGAATTTAATCAAGTTTTTTTTTCCATTAGATATAGTTTAATTTACATTGTAGAATTAAAATTTAATGTTAAAACTTAATGAATCAGAATTTTAGAAATAAAGGTCCAGACCAAAATCTGCTCAAAAGCTCCGGATCTGACCCTCTTAAAAAAGGATTTTAGTAAGTCTGTCACAGTAACAATTTCTTGAAATGGAGTGTGATCCCAGATTGTTCACTGTATTTAAATTATTTGCCTTTTTAGGGGGTGGGTGGGGTACTGACCTCTTAAATGGAATCAAGAATATTACGTTTATTTTTGTGAATACCAATCTTTCAACTAAGCGTAAGTTATAAGATTGGACTTAATTTCATAACTTTTTTTTTCAAAGAAAATTCAATTTTTAGAGCACATTAATGCCAAACGGTACCTTCTTCTTTGGATTTTTTTTTCTGCTTATATTAAGAACTAATTTTTTTTTCTTTCTTTTTCAGTCGGATTGTGCTGCCGATGACAGTAGAAGAGGTAATGCTCTTGTATTATGTTAATATCTATATCTATTTATCTATATTGTGTCTCACCTGTTTTATTCATGTTTTCATTACATTTTTAATCCAGGTAGAGAGATTATTGGAAAAGTTTGAATAGCAGAGTGACAGTTCTTTTTATTTTTTTCTCATCCCTTCATTTGTAATCTCCCAGAAACTAAAGGATGGCATGATACATTTAGAGAAAATCCATAATCAAATCAGGAGATACTCTTAAATCTTTCCTTCAGTTGCTCGTAGAAATGATAGCTGGGACTTTTTAGATTTTGATGGGGAACTTGGAACCAATAGGATTTTTATACTCTTATGGATTGAAAATTTTTTTTCAGAAACCATAGGTATTTTACCACGGCGCATATCTTGGCATTTGTACTTATTCCCTATTCACACGTTATATAGACATGATAGAGGAGAGGAATTTTTTTTTGGTATATCTCTCAGTTTTATACAGAAACTGTTCAAAAGTTTACAAGAATTTTTTTTCACAAGTTGTTAATATCAATTCTGCGCAATTGTTCTTTCCTAAAATGTGTTGAAAAAGCATTATAATTTAAAAAAAAATTAGATTTTTACTTGACCTTCCCTTCAGTATTATAATTATAAAATACTATAGATGCTAAATGACATTGTAAACTAAACCATTCCTGATAGTCAGTTTTTACATGTTGTGCTTATCCTTAGGGGGTATACAACTAATCAAGAAAACTCTGTAATGTGTTATTATTTAGTCTGTCACTAGAGATCGTTAGCTGTTCATTTTGATCATTTAGAGGACCCTGGTGATTGTAAGCTGTTATTTTATTGATTTGTGTAAGTATATTAACCAGTCGGTCGTGAATGTGACCACAGAACTCTAGCTGATTGGTGTATACAGTTACCTATCTAGGTATAACTGGTCACCTACCTGTAACAGGTAATACAGGTGGGAGAGTCAGGAAGTACCCCGGGGGAACCAGGATAATCTGTCACTAGATATCCTGTATCTCTCTAAAAAAAAGTCCTCAAGAACACAGAAACACACACTGAATGTTATTTTTCAGTTTAAAGTATTTTGACCAGCTATACCTGTATGTGTTACAGTGTAATTACATTGACATTGTGAAATTATTATGTACTTCAATCCATTAAAATATCGTTGAGGGGGGGACTCCTTATGTCTGCAATTTGAAAATCAGCATTTCCCAGTGGAATACAGTTTGTTAGCATGGTCAATGAGCTGAATGTTTTCCTTACGTCCTTTGTGATTCTGAAAGACATAAATATAAAAGTTACACTGTTTGTACAAAAGATATACATATAAGATATATACTATTTGTATGAAGATATACACATAAAAAGTTAGACTACTTGTATGAAGAATCGTTTCCTGATGTAACAACTTCACAGATCAATCAAAGGATGCTACAGTATATTGACATTGACTTGATGTTTTAGAGGAGGACATTTCTCCCCTCTTACCAGATCAATACCCCTCGTAACACCAGGTCTTTCCTCTTATCAACAGTTAGATCAATATAAACACTGTAAAAAGATTATTTTTATAGATTTTTTTTTATCCTTCAAGGCCAGTCCTTTTTTCAATAATCTTGATTGTTTTCCTTAAACTTTCTTATGTTGAATTGTATTTTTTTTATTTTGGAAACTTTGTTAACTAGGGGTGGGACGATACACACATCTTGCGATACGATACGTATCTCGATATATTGGCACGATACAATAGGTATCTCGATATTATGATAAATTATAAAACTATTCCAAATAATAAGTATTTTATTTTTTTTTGTCTAGACATTAAATCAACAAATTATTCTACATCAAATCATGTTAACTTTGCTTTGAAATTAATACTTGAAGTTCATCAATTTCATTGACTAAAACTGTACAAAACAATGATAGTACATGTACATACTATTATTACTATTCAGAATTTGTTTACAAATAGTTGTGTATTTTATCAGAGAACACAGACTAAAAATTCATTTAAAAACATCGATCATATTTACATTATTATTAAATCATTGCTGAAAGTGTTAGTGTTGTAAAATCGGACAAATTTTACTATCGATTATCAAATTGAATCGGAAGAACACAATCGATTATATAATCGATAATTTGATCTATTTAAAAAGGTTAAATTTATTCATCCTGAGAAGTATTTTTAATAGGATATGGATATAATTCGGCGTCAACCTCTTCACCATGCATGTTCGCCATTTTGTTTACCGCCGATTTACGTCCCTTATTATTATTAAAAATATAGCGATCTATCGATGATGATTTTTACAATCGATTGTCGCCGATCTGGGCCTTCAAACGACGATTTTTCGATAGTCGGCGACTATCGTAACAACACTAGAAAGTGTGTCGCCAAGTTAAGATTACAAAAAAAGTACGAGATAGATTAACAATTTATAATATCAAATGTTCTGGAAACGATATTTTCTGTGTATAGAACGCATTTCATACTGAACTTTTCTTGTCCAATCTCCCGAGCCTGCTTAAAAGTGAAAACGTTTTACCCCTAATCAACGACTTATTAGTTCTAAAGTGTGTCTTCAATATCAAAATAATCTCTTCACTTCGTACAAGCCGCCATTTTCAAAGGACAGGTACTTTCATTTTCAATTTTTGGATGGGTCGTTCGTGTATCGTTTCGTACCGATATTTGAATGCTTGTATCGTAATCCGTATCTTGGAGGAAAATATCGGTATGTATCGGTGCATCGGTATATCGTCCCACCCCTATTGTTAACTAACATACAAGATGAGGAAGTTCAAAGCATTGACTTTAATCAGAAGGATAAATCTATAACACTAATACTTTTTATTTATGCAGCCAAAAGCCAGTAGTATTTTTTTATTATATTATTTTCTAGCCAATGGTTCCTGATCCACTATTATTCATACAAACCTTTGATCTATGGTGCAATTAAAAATCTGTATTGTTTACTTCACATGATCTTGAATCTTACAACATGCCGGCTCATACAGCTTGTATCATAAGCAAAAATAAAGAGCATATTCAAAAATGAAAATATATAAAGAAAAATGTGTCATTTATTGTTATGATACGGAGTGTATCAAGTTTGTCAGTTATGGTCAGTGGCAGAAGCCAGTGTTAGGATTACTTTATAATCTTATGATTTGATTTCAGTATCTTATGATTTGATTTCAGTATCAAGTTGGTCAGTTATGGTCAGTGGCAGAGGCCAGCAAAAATGAAACAGGAGGAGGAGAGGGAATTGAAGTCCGAGTCAATGAACCTTTTGATGAGAATAATTACCCCCCAGAGAGCCCCTTACTGCCACTGACACCTGGTGGAGAACCCTTGACCAAGGGGCAATACACCCACAAAGTCTACCACTTAGCTAGGTAAGGATATCTAAAACTTAGATAGGTAAGAGCAGTACACCCTTCAAAATCTACCACTTGGCTAGGTAAGGACTGTGTCACAGTGCACCCACAAAATCTAGATAGGCAGAGGAGCACATCCTTCAAAATCTACCACTTAGCTAGGTACATGTTAGGACAATACACCTACAAATTAAACCACCTAGGAAGTTAAGGGCAGTGCACCCTCAAAATCTAAGTACACCAACAAAATCTACCACTTAGCTAGGTACTGACATTGCACCCAGTTATTCTACCATGTAGCCTTGTATGTGCAGTACTACACCCACAAATCTACCCCATACCCAAATTGGGGCAGTATACTCACAAAATGAAATTGTCTACTAGGGATGGGTATCATTAGAAATTTCATATCGCATTGTATCATGATTTTTTCCCAAAATATCACGATAGTATCATGATATTTTTACAAGCAATTTTTATAATGATCTTAAATGAATAGTCATTTATTTTCTTAAAAATATGCTAGAAAAACAAATTTCCACTTTTTTGAAATTTTTATGTAAATAAAATTAATCATATTTGGATGGTAAGGTGCCGTTCTTTTCATCTTTTACAACATTTTTCTTAGACTTTCATTTATTGTAATTTGAACGATTGGAAAAATAAATGAATAATTTCTGGACTTTATAATATGTACCTAAATACCAGAATTTATGTCTCTGTATCACAATACATATCACGCAACAAAAAATCGCGATATACCGGTATACAGATAAAATCTCACATCCCTATTGTCTACATCAGAACATGATGGGTCACATCAGTTTGTTGGGGTTTTTTTAATTACTTAAGAGGGAATTTCTATTCACTCACTTAATCAGTTAATTTTTTTGATCAGAATCTGTGGTAAGTTTTAGATTAATATTTCTTTGTACTTAGTTCTTTTCAGCTCACCTGAGCTAAGCTAAAAGCTCAGTGAATTTTTCTGATCACACATTGTCTAGCATCCATGGGTCTGTCTGTCCGTATGTAAATTTTTTACATTTTCAAAGAACTACATGTACCAGGCTAAACTGTGAGAAATGGAAAGCACTCATCACTGCTCATAGCAGAAAATGTTTTGTTCATAGTGATCTGAGGACAACTGATGAGTGCAGGGTTACAGGGGAAGAAAACAGAGAGTATGCAAATTATAATTCATTTGAATGCTTAAACACTTTGTTTTTGTTTTAGTCGAGTCCCAGCATTTATACGACTTATAGCACCAAAAGGATCCCTAGAAATTCATGAAAAAGCCTGGAATGCCTACCCCTACTGCAGAACTATTGTGTCGGTATGTATAGATAATTTAGCATCAATGAGCACCCACCCACCCCTCCCCTGGCCAGTTCTTTGGCTATGCAGATCACAGTAAAAGACAAAGCAAACATGCTTAATATAATGAATTGATGCTTACAACAGTAGTTTTCATTCCCCATGGCTTTAAGGTGCATGTATTCTATAAGCTTAAAGGACAGAGTAAATTACATTTACAACAAACCAAAGTCACCCATCCCTGGCACTTCTTTGTAAGTGTGTTTAACTGTATCTTGTTCAAATTCATACCTCAGTGGATACTTAATGGTTTGTATGGGAGAGTTCAGGCCCTTGTGCTTTTTTATTTAATCAAGATCTTCTAGTAGAGAATTTCTCAACTTTTTTCCATCACAACTACTGTAACCATTACAGTGATTTAAAAGATCTGGTTTCTTTTGCAGAATCCTGACTACATGAAGGATGGATTTTACATCAAGATAGAAACAATGCATTGTCCAGATAGAGGAACTCAGGAAAATGTAGGTCTTTTATAAGAATTAGATAGCTAAATATGTATAAAAAGAAATTGAAAGCTTATGTATAAAAAGAAACCATTACAGTGTCTCCATGTGAAAGGAACTTGCATATTGTGTGAATTATGTATGAAACAAAATCAGACTATCTAGATTGGGGTACATGTATTGATGAAAGTGTATATTAAGGGGCTTATCTATAAAAAGAAACTAAACACTATCTAGATTGGGACATCCATGGCAAAAATATGTGTTTTGTGATGCATATCATAAAAAGGACCTTACTGTAAAATTGATACATTGCTTTTACATGTCAGATTTAAAGAAATTTTTGAATAAAATTAGTTATTAATTAAATATTCAACATGGATTAAATTTTCCTTTTACCTTTTCATGTTCTTTGCCACACAAGAAAATTGTTGATACTTTACATGTACAATATGAGTACTGATTAATTGATACTCTATAGGTACAATATAAGAAATATTTAAGTTAAATTAACAAATTAATACTTTTCTGGTACAATATAAGTACCTGGTACTATAAATTGATACTTTACAGGTTCAATATAAGTACTTATTAATTGATACTTTAAGGGTACAATATAAGTACTAATTCATTCATACTTTACAGATACAATATAAGTACTATTTATTGATACTTTGCAGTTTCAATATAAGGACTGTTTACTTGACCCTTTACAGGTACACCAGCTGCCTCCTGATGATCTAAAGATCCGAAAAGTGGAGAATATAGACATAGCTAATGACCCAGTTAGGTCCGCTGTAAGTATCAACTATGAACGAAGTCTAATAAACTGTAGAAAGAAGAAAGAAGAATAAATCTTAAAAAAATCTAGTAACAGGAAGGTCATGGTAAGTCATATTTTGTGAAGAACCATCTTTAGTCGGCACACTATATTGGACTGCAGTTACTCAGGTAAGAGTTGTGGCCCATGGACCTCTTGTTGCTTTGTCCATTACTTCAGATTAGAATTTCTAAGAAGAAATATAGATTTTACTGAGAAAGCTCCTATGTTTATCCATGTTGCTTAATTTCTGTGGTTTTATGTTGTATGATCTCCAGAGGGTAAGATGTTTGCTCACAGTTAAAATATAACACACAACTTTCTTACTCGTGTACAGCTCAACACAAAGATCCATATAAAAATCATGCAATCTGAATTAAACCTGAGAATTATGTTTGTTATTACATCAATTTAAATAAGGATGAAACTACTTTTTCATCATATTCCTTCAAATTATTTAGTAAATTTTTTATTCATTTATTCTTCAGTTCAGAAGTGGATATAACCTTAGTCATAGCCAAAAATATAATAAAAAATGCGTGTTTTTATGTACATGTAATGTCCACCTATGTTTCAAAGTAGATACAGTATTACAGTTATGTCAGTTTATAATATAAAATACATGTTTATATACAGTCATGGACAGTTTACTTTTTTTGATGTGACTTCGTTGTGAAGAGGTATTCGCATTTAATTACTGTAGATCACTAAATTTTCGCGACACCTTATTTTCGCGTGATAGTCATTGACTCTTGATTAGCGAGACAAAATTTTCACGAATTGTGGTTATTGCTCTATATAATCTTAAGTAATACTATTATACGCAAGAATTAAATTTTCGTGAGCACACTGTCTCGCGTAATTACCCGAAAATAAAGTTCTCGCGAATAAAAAGTGATTTACAGTGAGCATAATTATGCATGATTGCTGTAAACATGATCTTTTGTAACAAATATACATTTTGAAGATAATTATTTTTTTTTTTAATTTAAAATTGACTTCTTGCATGATTCATGTATGGATCAAAACCAGTAATAATGTCTTTGAACTAATACATCAGTTGAAAGTGAAATTGTCTATGATCTTTCCATCACTATAAAATAATTCACAGAGAATTCATTAACCATGTTCCTAAATTCTTATGTCAGGACTTGCACAAATACCTATAGTAATACTTTGGGGAATATGTGACTCATAGGTTTTGCCTAATTCTTTGACATGTGATATGTCCACGTCACATGACTTTGATGTTAGGTTTTCGGGTCAGTGTCACATGACTTGGACTGTAAAGGCCACTGATTGGTTATGTTTCACATACAAATGTAGTTCTTAAACAATGCAGGGTTCAAAATAAAATTTTCTAAGCACTACTTTCTTTAGATTAGTGACTTCTAATGTCACCATGATATTAATTTATTCAAATCAAACCTTTTTCCAATTTATTCAATAAAAAACTGAGATTTTAATAGCTTTGAAATAGTTAGTTTCTGTTTACATGATATATGTCTTTAACCATATGTCATTTTCTTTCACTGTCAAACTGAACTATTCTCTCTCTCTCTTTTTTATTTTTTTTTTGGGGGGGGGGGTCATAAATAGACAGATAAATAAACAGTGGTATGATTGGACTTTGAAATATTGATCATGAAATCACTGAAACGTGATTGAAGGTCTGAATATTGATCATGATATTACTTATAATTGTTTTTTTTTTAAATTTAAAGATGGGCTAACAGGAGGGAAATAAAATAAAATTGAAACCAGCGACATTTTTGAAAAATTTTGAAATTTTCTGTGGTCTTTGAACACTATTTCCAATTGCTCGAATTGTGCAGTGGTATAGCGTCAGCTTTAGAATTTCTATGTAAGGAGTTGGTCCTTAGATCAGTGGTTACAATCTCACTGGGGGACGTGGAGACTGGTCCTCCGTATGAGACCGTATAAACCGAGGTCCAGTGTCGCAGTAGGTGCTGGCTTGAAAAAGATCCCTCACTGCTCAATGGCCATCAGTGCCAAGTATAGGTCAAAATTTGTAGCTCTCCACCTGCAAGTGATGGTGTTTCCATATGATTGAAAAATTCTCAAGAAGGATGTTAAACAACAAACAAAAAAAACAGACTATTCCTGTACAAAGATCACTTTAATCATTTTTCACCAGTCTCAGTCTTCAGGGTTAAGATAAGAATTAAGTGAATTATGAACTCTCCAATCATACTGTTGTCTTAAAACTTGTAACTAGTTAACTTCCCTTTCTAATCTAATTTGGAGTTGTACTTTTTTAACTGCCCTAAATGATGTATAGTTTTGATTGTTATTCACATAATTATCAGAAACTGCTTTCACAGTCAGTGTCATGTTGTTTTTTATGCAGTGTTTTGAAAGAATTATTGTTAACATATTAAACTTGCTAACTTCAACCCTATAAAGTTTAGAATCCTGTAAGTCAGAGAGATGTAAAGACAATGTTTTATTTCAGGATTATAAACCAGAGTGGGATCCCAAAAAAGTCAAGTCTGAAAAAACTGGACGTGGCCCATTAGATGGAAACTGGAAGGTAAGTGTGACTTTTATAAAGAAAGTAAATAATAAGGATTAAACCACTCTGTAAATCTGTCTTTCATTCTGAGATGAGACAAGAATATTAATATTTGTGATATTGATTAAGGGTTATTAAAAAGTGAATTGCTAATTCCGGAATTGTCAGGCATTGGTTTTCATCATTTTCATTAAGCTCTGCTTTCTCAAGCTTTTACTTCACTAAAAAATGTAAACAATCAATGATAAAATTATTACAGGAGAGTTGTACACCAGTAATGTGCTGTTATATTATTACAGGAGAGTTGTACACCAGTAATGTGCTGTTATATTATTACAGGAGAGTTGTACACCAGTAATGTGCTGTTATATTATTACAGGAGAGTTGTACACCAGTAATGTGCTGTTATATTATTACAGGAGAGTTGTACACCAGTAATGTGCTGTTATAAATTAGTCTCTGTCAAATTCAAGTGGTTTGGTTTACAAAACAGAGTGGAAAAATTCATTCAAACAGTAAGTCTTACTTAAGTTTTTGAGTTTTCATTGAAATAAGTCATTTTTGGACACTCAGACTCTTAATATTTATTTATATTTGTTCCCTATTTCAGCAAGAGAAAAGAATATTTACGAATTTCCATAGACAGGTGTTTTGTTGGTTAGATAAATATCACGGTCTAACAATGGATGACATCCGACGTATAGAGGAACAAACTAAAAAGGAGCTGGACGAGGTAGGTTTAAAGTTTGGGGTCTGAATGAGCAGACAAAAAAAACCAATAAAATTTATCACAAACAAACGCTGGCAACAACAATTAAAGAAATATAACCTTGAAACTAACCAGACAAATAAATACACAGAAATGCTGGCCACAACGATAAAAAAAATAGAATTAAGGCCATAATAAATAAATTGCTAGATTCTCATCCAAATTTTTTTAAAAATCGAGGCGGGCGGGCGGCTTTTATTTTATATTTTTTATTTTTTCAGTTTTGCAGATTTTTTATTGACCTGGTCAATCGGTGTAATTTTATCTATAATACCCGAGTAAAAGTCATAGTAAAGGTTCAATTATCTCTTACTTCACAGCATCACCAATCTTTTTCAACCAATGACCCTTGTTTAAAATATATACGCATGTATTACAGCATTTACAATCTTTTCAGCTGTCAAAATCATGTCGACTTTTGCCGGATTTAAAACGAAAGTAGAATGGTAGATGAATAGGATTGAATACCGATCCCAATCAGAATTAAGACAAAGAAAAACAGAAATAAAAAAAATTGAGGCGGGGGTATAAAATCGGGACGGGCGGAGATGAGAATCTAGGAATATTTTTATTATGGCCTAACCGCTAAAAAATGGAATTTACTTTTAACCCAACCTGACAACTAATACACAGAAATGGTGGTCAAAATGATTAGAAAAAAAAGGAATTAACCCGGACAAGAGAAACAAATACACTTTAAATGTTATAAGTATTAATTTAGTATTTTCATTTGGATGAGATTTAAATCAGGTAGGTTTAAAGTTTGGGGTCTGAATGAGCAGACAAAAAAAAACAACAAAATTTATCACAAACAAACGCTGGCAACAACAATTAAAAAAATATAACCTTGAAACTAACCAGACAAATAAATACACAGAAATGCTGGCCACAACGATAAAAAAAAATAGAATTAACCGCTAAAAAATGGAATTTACTTTTAACCCAACCTGACAACTAATACACAGAAATGGTGGTCACAATGATTAGAAAAAAAAGGAATTAACCCGGACAAGAGAAACAAATACACTTTAAATGTTAAAGTATTAATTTAGTATTTTCATTTGGATGAGATTTAAATCAGCTGTTTTGAAAAATGATGGGTAATCATCATAATTACTGACTGTCTTATGGAAAATTTGGTCAATATGACTTGCAATCACCATGTTTTCATTTTTCAAAGAGCAAGAGCCATCTTATGCATAAAATGGCCCTGTACTTATATCATTAATTAACTATCACCCTCTTTCCATTTTCATATATCAAAATAAAGTAGACACTTGGTGCTTTCATGTTCTATAATGAAATTTTGTTTTGAGAATCCAAATATTTGAAAACAGGCTTTGAGAAATTGCAATGTTCTTGAAATTTGCAGAAAATATGCGTATTTGACTACCGTCAACAAAGAATTAAAATATGAGCACAGCCCACGATCCAAAAAATAAAACATGTTTTTTGATCTTCAGAAATAGACCTTTCATTATGTGTTGGCATATTTTGGATCAGAGGTTGTGCTCTATATGAAATACTGAAAAAACGCTTCAACTTTAGGTCATTTTCAAAGGAATTTACAGGATATTTGGAAAATGACGCATTTTATGACATCATAATGCATTGACTAGATGTGAAATTACATCACAATTAATAGATACGTGGTCACCAACAGTCCAAGTGATAAATACTGCATTTGCAACCTAAACTGAGCGGTTTTGAATTTTCAGAAATTCTCAGGGCCAAATAAAGCCTAAAGTGGCTCTACCTCTTTATTCTACCCTGGTTATGTAAGACCAGATTTTGAAATTACGGCTAAAAATGAGTGTTAAAGCTAGTCTCACTTTACTTGCAATCTAAAAATAAGTGTCCACAGAGCAATTTCAAGTAGAAATATCACCCATTTCATGAAATATAATGTATTACAGATTTTTTTATTTGGTCCAGATTAGGGGAACAAAAGCTTGATGTATAAATGTTATATTTATTTTCAGTCCCGAGCTAGGGGCCAGATAAGGGGGACAACTGCTGCTGATGAGAAGGAGTGATGTCGTCCGGGTCAATAGTCATTCCATTAGCCATGACAGCACATACTGGACAGCATCACCCCCACACAGTACACACCAACAGACCTTACTGATTCACCCAATTCTTTGTGATGAGATTTTTATTTGAAATGATATTTGAGATGTCATTTTCTATACGAGACTTAATTTCATAGTTTATTTTCCTAAGACATACCTGAGGTTGTAGCGTTGTGTGTTTGTCCATTATAAAATGAGGTTTTCTCTCTTTGTAGAGTGCAGAGGGAGATAACCCCCACATTCTGTCATGTGCTCATTTGTTAAGATTTTATTATTATTTATTGTACATTAGGATTTGAATGCACCAGCATAACATTGTGTTTTTATAGGAACTGCTGCCATAGATTTACAGGAGATGATGACTGTATGATATGTAACCCTTCCTTTTCCTTGTGCTATGTCTGTCTGAATTATGTTCTCATTACAAATCCAGGCTCTTAAGATTTAATAGTGTTCAGTAACTCTAATTTCTGTAGCTATACAAAGATAAAGGGCTCAGTTTATAAAGTTGTTTAGCCCCGGCTGGAATCCTAGGCTATTTTCAGTGCTTTATAACCTGAGCTGTTCAGAACACTATTGAACATTAAGTGCAATAATGGAATCTATATATGAATAACTTACTGTGGAGAAATCCAACTTCATGTCATAAACTAAAATCTGTATCAGTAATCATGCATTGAGATTGAAGTAAAAAATGAATTTAAAGTCTGGAACATTACTCAGTTACTGTGTTTGAATTATTATTTTCTAAATTGAGTGAATGTTGAGCAACTTTCGATATATGGGGACATTCCACCATTATAGACGTTTAAATATGTTGAGTACTATGGTTCCTATATTCTTGTTAAATATTCTTTATGCAAATTGTGGTGACCAGTTTACATAAAATTTCCCTGGCTACCTCCTCAATGTCTAAATGTTTCCATGTCAGCCTATTTGTCAACGGGATCTCAAGTATTAGGCTAAACAAATTCCAGATGATGCAAAAATGCTTCCTTGTGGTATGCTTTTGATGCGAGAGCAAAGTTGCATGGTTCTACATGATTGTTAATTCTGCACTTTATCCTTAGCTGCCGAACTGTTGCTCTCCGAAAAAAAAAAGATTTACAGACCGCAGAGCTACAGTGTCACCTATTTAAAAAACTGGATATTTATTGAGCACAAAAAAAAAAAATGCGCTGTTTCTCAATTTATTTCTCTGCTTTTTTCAATCCGTCATCTCAAAATATTATTACCCCTGTAAATAGCCCTCATGGGCCTAAAATGGAAACCATCGAAATTTTTGACCATGTTAACTGCCATTTTGGACTGTAAGATAATACGGTCGAATTTGCACTTAATGCGGATACATGACGTTAGTCGGAGCGTATACACATGTAGTTGATAGCGTCAAAGGGATATTTTAAAATCGACTTTTGTACAGTTGAGTTAAGAATTGGGAAAGTAATTCAAAAATGAGCGCAACTTTTTGTGCGCAATAAATACATGTATACACTTTCTAATGGGTGGCACTGTACATTCATCCCTATATTTTCAGACCAGGGAGCTACAGATCTGCAGCTACACATCCCAAGTTCTGACAGTAATATTGATTTATTCACTTTACGTGTACTATTTTCCTCCCTCAAAATGAACAAATGACAAAGTGCTACATGCATATTTAGACATCTTGAAACAAAGTTTACTTCAACGAATCTGCTCGCGAGTTGTGCTGGAAAATGTTCGCAAATGCACTTTGTTTCAGGATGATGTATTTTCACTTTTTAGATTACCTAAATTTTGTCAGTCTGAGTATAGAAAGTAAAACTAAACTGAAATTTAATAAATTATTTTAGTGTCTTAAAGTATCTATGTGTGTACATAATAATGTGCATACGTGTAGTAAAAATACAACAACATAGAATTAAAACCCGGTTTTGAATTGCAGTATATTACAGTATGTGGATAGGAAATTTGGTTTATTGAAGCCAGATAAAATTAGTTTTTGAATTTGAATAAGCTAATTAATAATTTCTTTATTTGTTCATTACAAAAATTCTGCTATTGCATTTAATTAAATGATTTGAAGTTTATTGTTAAACTATTCAATGTTAGTCTAGACTCGTTCTATATAAAAAGTAGCAATTTTTAAAACATGATTTGCTCCAACAATGTTGTTTTTGAAAACATTAGGCGAATTTGATGATACGGTATACCATGATAATGTTGAGGTGTTTGACCCAACACCCTACTGAGGAATTTAAATTGAGTTTAAATAATATGTGAGGATCTTTTTTCTACACATTGAAACAAATCTAAATAATTTATCAATAAATTATGGAAATCCAGTGATTAAAATATATATAATATCGATAATATCTACATGTATTTTGAAAATTATATGTTTTCTATGAACTCAATTTATCTCTGAGTGGGGGATTTTTCTCGCCTAGAACGCATTCACCAGAAAAAAGAATAGAGATTGAAGAACAAACTTTCACGAATTTCACATCACCATATTTAGTGCAGTACAAGATAAGATAATTTATTTTCCAATTTTGGGCCCAGAAGGCATAAAGGGTTTTTTACAATGACAAGATAGATAGTTCTGAAAGAAAGGTTAGTAAACATACACAAACATAAACACACACACATGTATATATCTGATATAATATATACAAGTAACTGTACATTATAGATGCAGCAGTTGGGGTTATCAAATCGTTAACATGCGATCAAAATCAATATTATCAATATACATGTACATATATACATGTACCAGTATACCAATAAATATGTGTCTATAACATCATTTATGAAAACTCATCGCATTACATACTATGAAACCTTGTACATGTTGTGCTATCTGCTAGAGGCGCGCTAGTTACAATTACCGGTCATTTGATTGTCTTTTCCGGTAATTGCCATGGCACCGCGGGAAAGATGTGTGTGTTTGTTGGGGGTAGGGGTCTCCTCAATAATAAATAACTTGAAAAGAAAATATAAAATCACAGGACCCGTCCCTCTGTATATAAATGCACAATGTCGCTATTATCGTTCTAAGAAGTTTAAATTAAATAAGGTTCCTCATTCTCCGTGGTTTCTAATTCACTCCGCTTTGTAGTTCTTATCTCCATTACTCGCGGTCTATACATTTTCCTGTCTTACACATCGTCATTGTGTTAAAAATTATGAACTACAGTTTATAACAATTGTGATTTTTAAAACCCGTTTTTATTTGATATGCCCGGTGATCTTTTTTTATATGTTCAATACAAAAGAACCAGACAGTGTATTGATACAATTTTTTAACTGTGATTGTTTACAAATATATAAATAGGTAATTTTTTGTCTTTAAATCGAGTTACTCTGTCACCGTCGTTGAATTATAATAGACAGTATTCTATTTTTAGTAACGCGTTAACAGACCTTGAGTCGGTACGCGTGGTTTGTATACTTAGCCTTGGGAGCATGTGACATCCTCGCTTGTCTCACAGAGAATTCTCTTCCAGGATTACTAGAAATGAGCTGTGGGGATTTTACTATAATGTGACATATAAGGAATTTTTTTATATTTCTGGAGGAGACAATTATCCCTGAGTGAGGATGGAGGAAGACCTTCGCAGCTTCTGTAACACCTCCGTATTCTGGGTAAGACACTAATTCATATAATTCCTCCACGGGTTCTTAAAAACATGACATTCATTAATTAAATATATGTAACACAATTGTTGTTTATTTCCTATTTTTTCCATTAATTATAAAGTGAATAAAACAGTTAATAAAACAAAAAGCCGATTTGTTTACGAAGGAGGAAGCTTTTCGTTTTGATGAAAATTTTATAATGAGTTTCCTGTGTTGACAAAACAAAACTACATTGTCAGAATATACATAACGCCCCCTCCCCAACTTCTTTCCATTTTTAAAAAAAAATATCTAACAATATACTTTCATATTCTCTTTACAGCGATTTTTTCCCTTTCAAGCAACTTTTCTCTCTTGTATGTATATAATGTATTACATGTATATGACTCTATTTATATGAGTGTTTACAATGTACTTTCTTTTTGTCTCATGAGGGCCCTTAATTAATTAATAAACTAACTAATCTGAAAGTAATTAAACAATACAATTCCTTGGAACAGACGAAATAATACCATGAAGAACTGCACCCCCTTTTTTCCCCTTTTTCTCGGGCGTTGCTTGGGACATTTTTTTTAAAAAAATTGCGTCTTCTCATGCTCTTGTGATGAAAGGCATAACTCTTTCGTGCATGTGTAGCCAGACAAGAGAAAATTGAATTTATAAGCTACAAGTTTTAACCAAAAGAGCATGCGCGGATCTAGAGGGGGGTCGGGGGGGGGGTCAGGTCCCCCCCCCCCCCCCCCTGGAATTTACCAAGTTGAAAAATGTATATACTAAAACAAGAAAAAAGTTACCATGGACCCCCCCCCCCCCCCCCTGGAAAACGCTGAACCCCCCTGGTAAACGCGAATATGTGTGAAATGGGTATGAAAAGTGAAAGATTTGAGGCAATAGAAGTCACAACTACCCCCCCCCCCCCCCCCCCCCCACGAAATAGGTTTTTGACGTTTGGGCGAGTTTAGGTTTTTTTTTTTTTTTTTTTTTTTGCTTGTCAAGAAATTTCTGGGATTGGATTTTTTTTTTGACTGGGATGGACCCCCCTGGAAAAAATTTCTGGATCCGCGCCTGAAGAGTCCACATTTACTTTTAGAGTTTTGCCAAAATGACACGAATTATAAATATAGGAAAGGTATTTATTTTTTTTATATAAATCATTTATTCCTCTATTTTAGCCTCTATACATTTCACCTGTTATTTTCTATGCAGGTGATTCATATAAGTAACGGCATGTGATGTAAAACCTTAAAAAAGACTGTCAATCACTCCACTGGCTTAATATGCACGGAGTGTTGTAGCTGCAGAACTGTAGCTCTCCGAAAAAATAAAATTATATTGATAGACCGGAGAGCTACAGTGCCACCCATTGAAAAAACTGTATATTTATTGCGCACAAAAAAGTGCGCTCGGTTCTGGATTAATTCTTCCAAATTCTTACCTCAATTGCAAAAAAGCTAGATTTCAATAAAGTCCTTACTCCTCTATCAATTACTTTTGTTGTTTACATCTGTACGAAGCGCGTTGGACCGAATTATCTTGCAAACCAAAATGGCAGTATAGATGGGAGAAATTTTCGATGATCTCAAATTCTGGGCCAGGAGGGCTATTAAAAACAATCACAAGGAATGTTTTGTTGTGGAAACAGTGGAAGAATATGTCAGGAACACACGGTTAGTAATATTTTGAGATGACAGTTTTAGAAACATGGAGAAATAAATCGGGAAACAGCGCACTTTTTTGTGCGCAATAAATATACAGTTTTTTCAATGGGTGGCACTGTAGCTCTCCGGTCTATCAATATAATTTTTTTCGGAGAGCTACAGTTCTGCAGCTAGGAGTGTTGTACATGTATGTAAAAACAATTCCTATACAGGGAATGACGCTTTGTACCTCTTAAACCGATAAGCTTGATGTATTGAGGGAATTTTCAGCAAAGAATGCAAAATAATAAATATATTTCTCATAAGTCAACGTAAGACATATGACCGATTTTATTATACCGATGGTTCCCCGCCGAATTAAATGTGATCAATATTTCAGAACTAATAAGTCTCAACAGACAAAACAAGTAAAAATTTAAAATCTCTCTCTGCAGATCTTTTTTTTTTAGAATTGTGCTTTAGGAATAAAAGGATTATTTTACGATTGGTCATACAACGTATAATCATAGCTCCCTCTCCATAAGCGGGGAATTCTTTAAAATTATATGTCGGTTTCAAAAATTCTTAATATTCACAACGATGAGTTATATTGAATTCGATTTACAATATCTGTACTGGATTTCAAAAGAATAAAGAATTGATACCACCAGGTCCCTTTCTTTACATCTCGCCAGAATGATAGCATTGAAGAAACTTCAGGAGTACTGTAGTACTACACATTACAAAGTTTTTACTAAAATCAATAGTATCCAATGATACGATTTTTTTAACACCTTATACAACCATTGCTCACGATAAATTAAAGTTCAGTCCTTTTGACATCATAGACAGGTGGGGTTTTTTTTCAATAAGACTGGAACTTGTTTATTAATCATTTGCAAAATTATTTCATAAGAAACATTCTGGTTGTAAACTCGGGATGTCCGAAGTTGATTTTTTTTTTCAATTTTTTTTTTTCAAAAAAGATGCTCGAGTTTCTAATGGACAATATTTGTGTAGATTTTGGAGATCAATTCCTAAAAAAATCTTCTGTTATAGTTATACCCATGGATAGTAATTACTCCCAGTTAAAAGCAGACCAATTTTTGTATTTGAAAGAAGTAGAATGTGTTCTAAACTAACAATAAAATATGATAAACGCGATTACTTCAACTTTTCTATCGTTCAACATCTCTTATTCATATTGCATACAATGTATACAACGTAAGTAACATGAATACGGAATCCGTGTCTCCATGATGTTTTGATAAGTAAGAACATGCATATGTTCCAACAACTTCTAAAACGAGACAAGCTATTGACAAATTAGTTGATGATAATGGATAGGAACAGTCTAGTTTAAAGTCGACAACATTTCAAAAACTCTATGGTTGATACAGGGGCCTTGTTAGCAAATAATGTTTATCGTCAAGTTGGAAGTTAACTGAATTTTCATACAATTTGCTAGATCATTATTTTCACACTCAATAATTGACGAATTTTTCTATGTGCCCGATAATGAGAAGTTACACACGGTGGTTGTGACTGGTCTACAGGAGATGTCCCATTCTTATGACACTTGATTCCACTTTTGATGTTATCTAGAGGTTCATTTTGCTCTGCTTCAATTTGAACTCTTTCAATGGCCTTTTGAGCTTGACAGCCCACTGTTATCTTAATATTTCTAAACCACAATTTGCATCTTTCAGTTCGTGTAAGTCCTGTATGTTATTTATTTTACAGAACAGCACGGTTTTCCTGGAGAATTCGTGGCCCCGTGTTCCCGCGTGTTTCCAGATCACCGTGTTGACGTGGATTCCCTGCGCGTGGTTGTGGCTGACGTTACCGCCGTACTGTTACTACCTGTACCACTCCGACAACAGACACAGGAACATCCCCGCCAATGCCCTCAGTGCCACCAAATCTGTAAGAACCGTACACCACAGCATAATTAGGATACACATCATTTAAAACTGGAATATCATAAATCTCTGTATATACACCGTGCACTATAGTTCTACCAATCTCTCCAGGGTCAAAGTAAAAACATTTGCACACGGAGATTATTTAGAGACTTTTTGCAAAAACACCTAACCTAAGGATTTACTTTAAAAAACTCAACCAAAAAAAATTGTCTCCATGTAAAAGTCAGGGTACTTACGATGTCAGACTGCGATCTACTGAAATCAAAGAGCCATCTAGACGCCCTCAGAGAGTAAACTGAATGATCCTGCAAAGATTAATTGAACAATGCTTTCTGTGGCGAACTTTTGAGTTCCTGCGATTGCATTACGATCAGTTTAGTTCGATGAGAGTTGTACAAAAAGGATGTCTAAGAAATCATTGAGCGATCTTTTTGCACTCTTTGAGTGTTAAACTGATATTTGCAACCAATGGGTGAACTTGAAACATTGAAGAGGCCTTGGTAATTATGTATCCTCTAAAGAATCCAAAGAGATCATGGAAGATGCTAGGTAACCATTGAAAGATTAAGGAGAGATCTTGCAGAGTTTGAAACGCTCATCAATATATCTACAGTAAATATATACCAAAAGCGCAAAATTAAAACTTCAACACCATTGAATCATTAAAATACTAGTACCACCTACACAGAGCCACAGTTGAGATTTTGTAGTGCACCCAATGACACTTATCGGTCAAAACGAAACTGTTCATTATCCTCACGTGTCGTTTCAGAAAGCATTGAAACCAGCAATCTCTGAAGAATCTGCAGCATACACTCCTTGATCGTCTAGATCGTGTAAAGCGATCTAAAAAAAAATTATTGTGTGTGACAAATCCATAATTATATTTTCACTATTCTCTTTCACATTTAAAGAGAAACAAACTTTTCTTCAAAGCGTTTACATTTGTATCATTGCATCGATAAGGACGTAACGAAATCAATTTATAGATATCCACACTTTCAAAATTTGAATTATTGATCATAATGGTTTTACATATACAAAATCGTATATTTACAACCCGTATTTTTTCAAAAGCTCGTTCCTTTCTGATAGCCCATTTTATGAGATTTGATGCTTTTGTCCACTTGGCAGTGATTATACCTGTGTATATTTTTTACTTGAAGGGTATCAGCTTCTTGCTTGGAATAATCGTTCTGGTGGGCCTGATCCATGATGTCACGAAGGACGAGAATCTGAGTCTTTCACACGTTCCTCCCGCCATACTCCTCAGTGTCTTCCTACGCCTGGCTACATTTGTGAGTTTACAATATTTACCGGTATACAAAATCATACATTTGTAAATTTACAATATCCGTAAAATAACATACATTTGTAAATTTACAATATTTACCGGTATACAAAAGCATACATTTGTAAGTTTACAATATTTACCGGTATACAAAAGCATACTGTTATGGGTCAGAATAACCCTAAATGCCAGCAAAGATCAATAACACAATTTAAACTTAACAATAATTTATTTACAGTAATATATAATAAGTATATGAAACATAAAGTACAAACTTAGCAAGAATCTAAGAATACATACATCAGAGTGTCCGTTGCTGTACACAATGTCCCAGTGAAAATATATCCCAGTTGTACCTCAATGGTGCTTATACGACAAAGTATCAATGCATCGAATTGACAGGGTATTTATACAGTAATATAAATCTAGAATATTCTAGAAATTGTTAAAACATGATATTACTGGAACAATCTGGACATACACAAAATTTAAGAATGTTCTAGATAAAATGACCAAACATGTTGACCACTCTTGAATGTTCTAGAATTACTTAATGTTACTAAAATATATATGATGAAACAATACACATCTCACAACAATACATTTGTAAGTTTACAATACTGGTATTCATATAATAGCTCCTCGGTGTATTCTTATACTCCTGGCTACATTTGTAAGTTTACAATAGTCATTTAATAGCATATATTTGTAGGTTTACAAAATTCAAGCAATATAATACATATGTTTGTTTACAATATTCATACAATAGCATGCATTTGTTTGTTTACAATATTCATACAATAGCATACATTTGTTTATTGACAATATTCATACAATAGCATACATTTGTTAGTTTACAATATTCATACAATAACATACACATGTAAGTTTATAATATTCATACAATAGCAAACATTTGTATGTTTACAATATTCATACAATAGCATATTTGTAAGTTTACAATAGTCATACAATAGCATACATTTGTATGTTTACAATAGTCATACAATAGCATATATTTGTTTGTTAACAATATTCACACAATAACATACACTTGTAAGTTTACAATATTCATACAATATCATACATTTTGTATGTTTACAATATCACACAATAGAATATTTGTAAGTTTACAATAGTCACACAGTAGCATACATTTGTAGGTTTACATTATTCGTACAATAGCATACATTTGTAAGTTTACAATATTCATACAATAGCATACATTTGTAGATTTACAATATTCATACAATAGCATACATTTGTATGTTTACAGTATTCATACAATAGCATACAATTATAAGTATACAATATTCACGCAACAGCATACCTTTGTAAGATTACAATATACATACAAATGCTCCTCAGATTTATCTACGACTGGCTCCATTTTTTTAAGTTTATAATTTTTGTTCCGTAGTAAGTATGCACCTTCAGATGGTGAGGATCTTTGTGATACGTTTGACTTGTACTACCGAGTCCTGTGTCAGTGAGAACAGTATCAATATTAACATGTTGTTTCTCTATTTCCTAGATGCTTGCCGGGTTCTTGAGTCAGATAGAACGGTTGTGTGGAATTGTGTCCTCGGGCATACAGTTTGTTTTCTGGCTAATACTGCTGTCCCTTAGTGTTGTGCCATTTTATTCCAATATAATGCAAAAGGTAGCGTCTAAAATAACTACGGTAAACTTGTATGAGTGTTGTACCATTTTATTTCAGTATAATGCAGAGGGTACATCTTCAATAACCACAGTTAACTTGTCTCGATGTTGTGCCATTTTATTCCAAAAGTATAAATGGTCACGTCAGGAAATAACTACAGTAAACTTGTATTTACTTGTATTTAATACGTTGTTATTTAAATATTCTCTATCTAGCAAGAATCATGTATTTAAACGTTTCCTATGTTTTTACTTCCTATATTTTTCCTTACAGAAATATAACTGGGACCTTTTCAAATTCATCATATTTTACATTTATTTCCTCGCTGTTGTTGTCCAATTTATTCTACATTGTATAGCAGAAAAACCTGAAACATCAGCAGAGAAAACTCCTGAGGAAAAGGTATGAAATCCTTATCCCTGATATGTTATTGTTACATGTATTTTTTTTTATATTTTTTATGACTTAATTTATCATATCTTTCTTCTTCTATATTCTTTTTAGAGTAACGTAAACCCACTGTATTGTTTTAAACAGAAACCGTGTCCAGAGAAAGAGAGTTCTGTGTTAAACAGACTATACTTCTGGTGGCTCAATCCGTAAGTTACTATATATAGACTATACTTCTGGTGGCTCAATCCGTAAGTTACTATTTATAGACTATACTTCTGGTGGCTCAATCCGTAAGTTACTATTTATAGAATATACTTCTGGCGGCTCAATCCGTAAGTTACTATTGGAGCATTAGATAAGTATTTTTTAGATCGTCGAAAATCAAACGTGAACATAATCATCGGTTACAAACAATCTGTGAAACATTTGACTTAATGAAATCAGCATTAACTAGTGCTAATTGTAACGGGGACCGTTACAGATGTTCCCCAACTCCCTTTGATGGACTTATTTCCTGTAAGCTTCCTTAAATAAGACAAACTTTATGCATTTGAGACTTTAACAAAATTTACCCAGAAGTGTACCATGCACACTTGCGCATGGGAACGCATGTGCATAATGACCATATCATATTGTCTACACAAGCTATATATTTTGAAATGCTAAATATTAAAGTATTTAATCCAGAAATTATTTTAAAAATACGCTCATTCAAGTGTATTTTTGATTTCACCCATTTCACGTGCACGCACGTGCATACATGAGCATGGTGACGATAACTTCTTGTAGAAGTCTATTTCATCTATCTATGTTCTAAATCTCACCCTGTTTGGTTGAAAACTAAGGGAGTTATAGCTGTTTAAAGTTTCAGCCAATCAGATTGCAGCGCACGTACACACACATGTATGCATGGTGACCATACCTTCTTGTAGAAGTCCATTATAGATATCTACGCTCCAAATCCCATCCTGTTTGGTTAAAAACCAAGGGAGTTATAGCTCTTTAAAGTTTCAGCCAATCAGATTGCAGCACACGTACATGCACGTGTAGGCATGTGCATGGCGACCATACCTTCTTGTAGAAGTCCATTATGTATATCTATGTTCCAAATCCCATCCTGTTTGGTTGAAAACCAAGGGAGTTATAGCTGTTTAAAGTTTCAGCCAATCAGATTGCAGCGCACGTGCATACACGTGTTTTCATGATAATTGCTATATATCATGTTGTAGGATATCCTAATGCATGGCTATGTTCAAAATTTCAAAGGATTTCCTCAAAAAACAAGAAAGATATTTAGACTAGTTTCAGCCAATCAGAGCGTAGCGCACGTGCATGCGCGTGAGATCTTGCTATTTTGACCATGTCATCATGTCTATACTACTAATATATCATCACATTATGAGTTTCAAAGCATTTCATCAAAAAATAGAAAAGTTACGGCTATATATATTATATTGGTCATTTAACCTGTTGCACGTGCACGCTCTTGCAAGCACGTGCGCAGCGCGAAATATAACTGACCTTTTCAAATTCATCATATTTTACATTTATTTCCTCGCTGTTGTTGTCCATAAATTCTTATCCCTGATATGTTAAATGACCTTGATTCCACAAATTTAAATTACATGTCTACTGACCCTAAAAAGGTTTTACCTACATCGGATGAACAGTTTACAAGATCACTCCCGGACAAAAAAGTACCCAGGAAGAAGAAGAAGAAAAATAATAATAATAAGAAACAGAGTAAAAACAATATGTTCCCCAACTTCGTTTGGGGAACATAATAACAGTTCTTACATTGTCATAGCTAACCCCTTTTGGCATTATATTTGGATTTTAAGAAAGGAGGTGTCATACTGTGAAATCACTTTTTTTCGTGGGGATTTAATTTCCGTTGTGTTTGAGGTATGGAGAGACTCTCGAAATCATGACCACCACGGAATGTTAAATTTCATATTCATTACTACTAAACATTTTTCCAACCACAATATCAAATCCTCACAAACCAATAATTTTCTTCAAACCTCGAAAATATGCTCCCATGACAATATGTGATTTCACAGTATTTTATTAAGACTGATATACTTCAGACTTGTGCTGTCGTCTGTGAAGACTCCACTAAAACTCGAGGACATGTGGCAATTGAACCAGGAAGATAAAAACAGTTATCTCACTCAGAAGTTTGAAAAACACTGGCGGCGGGAGATCATCTACTCCAAAATCAAATTGTATGTATATTTACTAATTAGATATAAACTATACCCAAGGACTTAGGTATAAACGCAACATACCTTTTTTCATAATAGTATTTTTCAAATATATTCAAAACTTTTATTTCCAAACTTCACCCACAATACATCGTGTTGATCCCTAAATTCATCACCTCATTGTTTGCACGATGTGGGAAGGACCACATCCATTGATGTTTACTATCGAAATGCCTTGCCAATTAATTCTTTTATAAGATGTTAGTATTTTTTTTAAAAAGTATATTGAAATTACAAAAAGAAAACATTAAATTACAACGCGGGTTTGTTAAGGCAACACACGGATCAGAATTCGGCGAATTAACACTTTTTTATGATATGTGACACTAATAAATTGGAAAAGTCGAGGATAAAACTTTTGCTTTCATTATGCATTCTATAGTCTTCAATGGGACTTATACTACAGGCAGCACTTCACTACGTGGCGTCTATAAAAGTGAAAAGTTCAACACTACCCCGGGGATAATTAATTTTAATTTGTAATAATTGTTATGTAAAAACATCTCTGTACCATGAAATGTGCTGCTAGATTCCTACTGTCCTATCACAGAAATAATTATTCAACACTTTCGGACGAAACCTTCCCAAAATTTTAACATTTTGTTCAAAACATCGAAAAAAATGCATGAATTCCCGTAAACCATACGATTCTAGCAGCACTTTTCAAAAACAATAGAATAAGAACTTTTGATAGAAACAAAAACTAAGTTTCAAAGTATGCGGCATAGTGTTGAACTTTAGCATCTTTTTTGTTACGAACGACAGGGGAAAGGCTGATCGGCAAGTAAACACCCTGTCTGCTTTTATTTTACGAAGAAATTGTAGAATTATATTAGCATACCTCATTCATAAGCTTTATTCCCACATGAATCACACGTGATATTCATTCTAAATGCTTTTAAACTCCGATTTCTTGAGTTTGTTTACATGAATTCTAGTTACGTTTCACTTTCACTCTGCTACTACATGATCAACAGTTATGACGTCACGGGTTGGGTATTTGACCCCTGTGATTAAATACAGAGAACCCAGAAAGGACAAAATTCCATTTATATTATGCCTCTGCATATTTTGATTCAATTTAATGAGCTCGAATCAATCTTAGATATCGATTTTAAGAAATTGTTATCTCTAAAATTAATGTCATATAGCTTACTATGACGTCATATCATATAGGCAAGTAGAATATTTGGTAGTATTAACTTTAACATACCTGCGAATGGAATACAATTGTACTTTTGAGTTCGAATGCTGTTTGTTATCTTCATATACTGTATACAGGGTAATTTTCGCCCCGTGTTATTTTCGCCCTTTTGTGCTTGCGGACAAGTTAGCCCCGTTTTAAATTCGCCCAGTCATAGTTCTGTTTAAGAAATTATGCTGTGTAATTTGAGTTCACCCTGTTTTAAATTCGCCCAATCAAGAAGAGGGCGAAAGGGGCGAAAATAAAACGGGGGTGAAAATTTCCCTGTATACAGTACCCCCGGTACATGTATTTCATTTGTTCAGACAAAAGATGATGTCATCAGTCAGGAGGAAACAGGATCTATACACAAGAGCCTCGGGTATGACGGAGAAAACGCCCCTTCTAAGTGGGAAGACGGGTTCAGTGTTTACCACAAAGGAGGAAAAAACTTCTCCCCCGCCTGAGCCCCCATCAGCCATCCCTTCTCTTTCCTCCGCCCTCACAAGGACCTTCGGGTTCGTCTATCTGGTGTCTCTTGGATTCAAATTCCTCTCTGATGTCCTTCAATTCGTTAGCCCTATACTGCTTGGGTAAATACGTTTATTGTTATATACATCTTAACTTATGACATATATACAAAAATTACCTGAAAGAAAAATATACATTTAGAGAGAAGTCTGCTCTGTATTGATTAGTTGGAATAATGATGTTTCAAAACAGCAATAAAGTTGCTTTAATTGTGTGTTGTCTCTTTTGAAAATTATGAAGAATACAATGCATACAAGTAATCTGATGAATATCTTTGTGTTAGAATCCTGATTGATTACGCTGATAAGAGGGATCAGCTTCCAGCATGGAGGGGATACATCCCCGCAGTCCTCCTATTCCTGGCCTCATGTCTGCAGTCCATATTCTATCACCAAAACTACCATGTCGGAATGTCTGTTGGTATGAGGATCAGATCAACCCTCATTGCAGCAATATTCAGAAAGGTAGGGATCGGAGTTATCAATTGTAGTGAGAACACTTACTTTTACTTTCCTTTTCCTCCTCTTTAATGTATGTTTCATTTGGATTGTCCCAATGGACTTTGTCGATCTGATTTTATACTTGTAATGAGTTCATTCACCTTCGTTTCTATATGCAGGCCCTGACATTGAGTCCATCTGCACGGAGGGGAAACACTCTGGGTGAAATAGTGAACCTGATGTCTGTTGATTGTCAGAGGATTCAGGACACATTTACCTACTCCTGGTCTCTGATGACATGTCCCCTACAGATGGCGCTAGGGATTTATCTCCTTTGGAATGTTGTGGGAGCTTCCTGTATCGCTGGACTAGTGGTTCTTATTCTGATGGTCCCTCTCAATTCCTTTGTGGTGGTTAAACAAAGGGCTCTGAACGTAAAGGTACTGCGTCTCAAGGGACACAGAACGAAACTGATGACGGATGTCCTTAATGGAATGAAGGTCAGAGAATAGAGTTCTTAAAACATCTGTATGCATAAGAAAATGTCATTTTAACGACTTCAAACATTAGATAATTAATAACATCACGCGATACTGAATTTGTTATTGAAGGTGTTAAAGATGTATGCTTGGGAACCTTCATTTGAGGAAAAGGTTAAAAGCATTCGAGACGAAGAGTTGGTATATCTGAGAAAGATTGCATGGTTACAAGGAAGCACTACGTTTTGTTGGATTCTGGCGCCGTATTTGGTAACAATGAATTACGCTAGATTCATGTATATGAAAGAAATAATATAAGTTTTGACAAGTTCCAGTAATATGTTCAGTAAGCAAAAATTGGAATTTCAGGTGACCTTAGCCACATTTGCCACTTACATCTTGATCTCCCCTGAGCACGTTCTTGACGCTAAGAAGGCCTTCGTGGCTCTGGCTCTGTTCAACATCTTGCGACTGCCAATCAACCTCATGTCACAGACCATCTCCTTATTAGTACAGGTAATTTAGCACAGACTTATGATGCATATATAATGTTTTTCTCTAGTTATTAAACCTTCTTTCTAATTTGATATTACGTTGTTTCGTCTACAGCATATACGGTTACACTTGTTTTCATTCTCCATTATTACTGTTATACGATCAGCATTGTCTACTGTAACACTTTTTTCATTCGTCATTGTTTTTCGGCACATTGTTATTCCTTTCAAACTTATTACTGTGACATTGTTGTTTTTTTTAACTAATTTACTGTTCATGGTAACATGTTGTCCCTTTTTCTTCTTACATTGCTCTTTATTCTTCAATGACTGCTCAACATATATTTCTTCCTCACTATTTACTTGTAATGGTTTGGGCCGTGGATAGCGGCCTGGATAGCTCAGTTGGTAGAGCACCTAACTTGAGATGCATTGTTCCTGGGTTCGATTCCCGGTCCAGCCATACATTTTCTATTTTCCTGTTACAGATGTGGAGCCGTTGAGTACACTGGAATTGCAGGTGAAAGCCCTGCCAGGGGTAATAAGAACTTGGGTTGTGTCTTCGAGGGCGTAGACCATTTAAGAAGGGAGGAATGTACTTTGGGCCGTTGATATCGGCCTGGATGGCTTAGTTGGTAGAGCACCTGACTGGAGATGTAGGAATCCAGGGTTCGATGTCTCCTTTCCTGTTACATACTGTTACACTGTTGTTTCTTTTACACTGTTTCCTGTTACATTGTTGATTCTTCTCTACTCTTTGCTGTTACATCGTTGATTCTTCCTCACATGTTGCTGTTACATCGTTGTTTCCTTTTCACATTTTGCTATTACATCGTTGATTCTTTTATACTCTTTGCTGTAGGATCGTTGAATCATCGTCACTGTTTACTGTTACATTATTGTTTCTTCTTCACTGTTTGCTATTACATCGTTGTTTCTTCTACACTGTTTGTTGTTACATCGTTGTTTCTTCATTAGTGTTTGCTGTTACATTGTTGAATCTTCTTCACTGTTTGCTGTTTTTCACTTCTATAATGTTTTTCTTTACCTCAATACTTTATTGTTAGTCCTACTTTTCTATATTGGGGAAAGATTCTCAAACGGGACGTTAACATTATAATTTATTGTAATTTGTTGATTTCCTGTAAAATTATTTTTCTATGTATAATCCTGCTGTCTCCTAAACATATTTTCATTTCGATTGTTTGTCATTTCTTTTTAAGGCTGTGGTGTCCATAAAAAGAATCCAAGACTTCCTCGTGATGACTGATTTAGATTCCACAAACGTACACCACTCATCTTTGTCTGGTGAGTATATTTAAATTTGAATTCCCTCAGCCTTTTATGTTGATTTGAAAGATAATGCATTTTCTTCCTTCTAAGATTACGCCATTGAGGTAGAGAATGCATCTTTCGCCTGGGATTTGGAAGCTCCATCGCCTACGTTAAAAGAGTGAGTTTGAATGCTTATGAGTGGATGCCTACTTTGTTGAGGTACAGATAATGGTCCATGTGGAATCATTTTAGATACTAATGCAGTAACTTCTTCTCTGTAGTATCAACCTGAAGATTCCTGAGGGGATGCTGATAGCGGTGGTAGGACAAGTGGGCAGTGGTAAATCGTCTCTGATCTCGGCCCTCCTGGGCGAAATGAATAAGCTTGAGGGAAGTGTAAATTTTAGGGTAAGATTATACTTTGATTACATTTTATTTACAAATAACGAGTAGGTCGCAGCTTGGTTTTTCTGATTTTCAAGTAGAGATTTCATAGCTCAGCTTGATACTCCATTGCAGGGTACCACAGCTTACGTTCCTCAAGAGGCGTGGATTCAGAATGCAACACTGATGAATAATATTCTGTTTGGTAAGCCTTACATTCAGAAGAAATATCAGAAGGTCATCGAGGCATGCGCCCTGGTGCCTGATCTGGATATGTTGCCTGGTAGAGACCACACAGAAATCGGAGAAAAGGTAACTTTAACGATAACTTGCTCAAAGTTCTAGCTTTGAAGGATATTTTAAAATAAATTTACATGTTAAATCAGTTTTCATACATTAATGATTGTTTTGACAGGGAATTAACATAAGCGGTGGACAGAAGCAGAGAGTGAGCCTTGCCAGGGCGGTGTACAGTAACTCAAATGTTTACCTTCTAGATGATCCTCTCTCGGCTGTCGATTCTCATGTAGGAAAACACATCTTTGATCGCGTCATAGGACCCAAAGGACTCCTAAAAAATAAAGTAAATAAGCTTTACTTTTACATTGATAGTCATATCTATAAAGTAAGTTATAGGGAACATTTGCTTCCTTTCTCCTTAAAACGTTAGTGATTTATGATTGTGCACCGTAAGCTTATTCCCTTTTTCTCATTCTGCAGACCCGCGTTCTTGTAACTCATGGCGTCCATTGGTTACCTATGGTAGATATGGTTGTAGTTATGGTAAATGGGAAAATCACAGAAACAGGAAACTATGAACAGCTGATTAAACATGACGGGCCATTCGCTCAATTCTTAAAGGAGTATTTCCTGAATGAGCCTGATAATGAAATAGAGAATGAACACCCTGAAAGTAAGCATACTGAATGTATAAAAACCTGTTACAAACGTTATCGTGTCCTGAAAATGTAATCAACGTGAACGTGTCCGAAATTGTATACATGTATCATCAACCTGGTAAGCTTGCACTAACAGAACTTTATTTGTAAAAGTATTACTTTGTCTTTACATTTAGTTCACAAAATAAAAACACAGATCCTGGAGAAAGTGGAGTCTGTGACCTCAGATGCGTGGACATCTGACATGGACGGCAAGAGACTAAGTCTCTCTGTAAGGTAACCAGAATAACAGTTCTTTGTCAAACATAACATAAGCATATATACTAGTAGTTCTTATGTGTGAATGAAAAGACCATTCAATACTTCTGAATACCTTGACTTCTGTAGGAGAGAATCGAAGAAGCAGGAGTTGGGAAAATCGTCCTATCCCAAGCCAGCAGAAAAATCCATAATATCACGTCAGACACTGACGTCAGCCGAGACGTCACAGGAAGGACAGGTAAAGATATAAAATAGGAATTGTTTGTGCAACATTGATGCAATGATGACAGCTTCCAAACTCTAAAGGTCAATTATTGATATCCAATGAAAGGCCATGTCGCAAAGAATACAACTGTGAGATATGAAAGCCAAAGTCTTAACTATTCAAAAGTTATGACCAAGGTTATTCTTTTACTAGTGGGTCAAATTCTAAGGTCAAGGTCAAAATGTCATAAATATTCAAACATACTGAAAGATCTTGTCACAAAGAATACACCTACTAAATATGAAGACCCTAGTCCTAACTGTTCAAAAGTTATGATCCATGGTATTTTTTTTTTTAAAGTGGGTCAAACTCTAAAGCCAAGGTCAAAAATATTTATACCCTCTGAAAGTTCTTGTCACAGTGAATTAAAATGTGAAGTATGAAATCCCTAGCGCCAAATGTGCAAAAGAAATGTCTCAAATGTGCAAAAGAAATGTCCAAGGTTCAAGTGTGGTATGTTTTATAGGAAAACTACAAGGACAAGGTCAAATTTGGTGGTACCCAAAGAAAGGTCCTGTCACACGAAATACACCTGTAAAATATGAAAGCAATACATGTAGCCTGACCCAATTAAAAGTTATGGCAAGGTTAAGGTTTTTGTTGACAAACAGACAAATTAACAGACAAAAAACTATATACCCCCGAAACTTCGTTGACGGGGGCATAATAAAGACAAGTACGTTTAATTTATTGCTGTAAATCGGAAAGATATGGTTTTCTCAAATATCTTATAATTTATGAGATTTGTATTATATTTTATGTAAGTTAGTAGAACATTGAACGTAACTTTTATAACTTTCTCTGTTTATACAGGTGAAGTTATCCGTGTTTTCTGAGTATGCTAAAGGAGTGGGTGTATTAACATGCGTTATTGTTTTCATCGTGTTCACACTGTATCATTCGACTAGCGTCTTCTCCAACTATTGGCTTACATACTGGACAGAAGATTCTCTGCTCCTTGATCGGGACGAAATGAACACAACTGAATATTATGAAAGAAAGACATACTACCTCTCTGTATATGGAATTCTAGGGGCCATACAGGGTACATTATCAGACTTTTCTACAACAGGAACTTTATTATGTTTTTTCTTAACTGATTTTTGTAGGTAAACTAATGTAAAATACTTTTCCCAGGAATCCTTGTCTTCCTGTACGCCATCATCTTATCTCTGGGAATGGTGACTGCTTCCGGTAGATTGCATCACAGAATGCTCAAGAAAATCCTCCGTGCACCAATGTCTTTCTTTGACACAACTCCCCTCGGGCGGATCACCAATCGTTTTTCAGCTGACATAGACATAATGGATAACACATTACCGTTAACGTTTAGGATAACTCTGAACTCCTTATTTCTGGCGCTTAGTACTCTGATCGTCTGCACAATCAACACACCGTACTTTGCAGCATTCATTGTTCCTGTAGCAATCCTATATTATTTCATTATGGTAATCAAAAATTTCAATAAATTGTTGAAGTTCCCAATACTTACATATTTTACTTAAAGAGGACAAAACAAAAAGCACCAAATTAGATACATGTCTCACTATCTACAGTAGTTTTCAATATTTGGTCTGTCATCTCCCTTCATTCCAAATTAATTATGGTTTCAGAAATTCTATATTCCCACGGCGTCCCAGCTGAAGAGGGTGGAGTCCGTGACCCGGTCCCCGGTATTTAATCACTTCAGTGAGACGGTGACGGGGGCTAGCGTCATCAGGGCTTACAAAGTTCAGGACAGGTTTAAAGAGGAGTCATCACGGAGAGTGGATCAGAATATGGAGCCGTACTACATCAACTTTTCCTCATCAAGGTCAGTATGGTATTCAGTCAGATTTCTTATACTTTTATATGAATAATGTCTTCATCTAATTATGAAACATGTACTAGTAGTAATGAACAAGAAATCTGACATAAAGCTGTTAACTTCTATCGTAGATGGCTTGGAGTGAGACTGGAATTCCTCGGTAACTGCCTCGTTCTGGGCGCCACCATGTTTAGTATCTTCTCCGATCTTAATGGCGCTCTCGTAGGACTTTCAATCACCTATGCTCTGCAGGTAAGGTTAACGTTTTTCTAAATAAATTCTGATTCATTTAAAACATTTTCTGCACAGAGTTTCAAAGTGTTTATTCTTCCAGGCCACAGGAATTTTAAATCTACTGGTTGTAAATCTGACTGATCTGGCAAACAATATCGTTTGTGTGGAAAGAATCAAGGAGTATTACACTGATGTCAAAAGCGAGGTATGGTAAAAAATTAAAAAAGATAAGTGAAACTGTTATCAAGTAATTACTAGTATAAAACTGCATGTTTAATAAAAGTAAAAACTAAATGATTTCAAATGTACTAAAACTGATGATTCACTGCTTCTTTTGTGTAGGCTGAGTGGACCTCTGAGAACAAACCACCCGCTGAGTGGCCTCAGTCTGGACACATTAAGTTCTTACACTACAGAACCCGGTATAGGGAAGGTCTGGACCTCGTCTTAAAGGGTGTGACTGTGACCATCAATCACGGGGAGAAGGTAAGGATAGTTACCGTGACCATCACCCACGGGGAGAAGGTAAGGCAAAACCCGGTATAGGGAAGGTCTGGACCTCGTCCTGAAAGGTGTGACCGTCACCATCAATCACGGGGAAAAGGTAAGTATAGTTACCTTGACTATCAACCACGGGGAGAAGGTAACAAAAAGTTACCATGACCATCAACCACGGGTAGAAGGTACGGCAGAACCCGATATAGGGAAGGTCTGGACCTCGCTCTGAAGGGTGTGACCGTCTCCATTAAACACGGGAAAAGGTAAGCTGAATTTTTTTTACTCTTAGCATTAACCATGGTGAAAAGATAAGTGAAAGTACTGTAACCACGTGGAAAATGTAAGTAGAATTGTTGTAAGTTTTTAACGACGAAAACTAGTTCACTACCATGGCGAGAAGGTAATCAATGTGACGATGGTTTCTATTACTGTAAAACACTTTTTATTCGCGAGAACTTTATTTTCGCGTAATTACACGAGACAGTGTGCTCGCGAAAATTTAATTCTCGCGTACAATAGTATTCCTTAAGATTATATAGAGCAATAACCACAATTCGCCAAAATTTTGTCTCGCTTATCAAGAGTAAATGACTATCTCGCGAAAATAAGGTGTCGCGAAAATTCAGTGATGTACAGTAACCACGGAAAAGAAGGATGTATACAATGACCCTGGTGACTATTAATCACGAGTAAAAGGTGAGTACAGTGACTCTGGTGACAATTAACTACGGATAAAAGGTTGGTAGAGTAACCTTGTTGACGATTAACCACGCTAAAAGGTTAGAATAGTAATCCTGGTGACGATTAACCACGCTAAAAGGTTAGTATAGTAATCCTGGTGACGATTAACCACGCTAAAAGGTTAGTACAGGGACTCTGGTGATGATTAACCAAGGGTAAAAGGTTATTACAGTGATCCTCGGGACGATTACCCACGGGTGAAAGGTTAGTACGGTAACCCTGGTGACGATTAACCACGGATGAAAGGTTAGTACAGTGATTCTGGTGACAAATAATCACCGGTAAAGGTTAGTGCAGTGACTCAGGTGACGATAAACCACAAGTTAAGGTTAGTACAGAGACTCTGGTGACGATTAACCACGGTGAATGGTTAGTACATGTATAGTGGTCCTTGTGATGATTAATTATTGGTTAAAGATTAGTACAGTGATGCTGGTGATGATTAACTACGGGAAAAAGGCTGGTACAGTAACCCTGGTGATGATTAACCTCGCTAAAAGATTAGTACTCTAACAGTAACCCTGGTGACGATTAACCACGGGTAAAAGTTAGTACAGTGATCCTGGTGACGATTAACCCGGGGTAAAAGGTTAATACAGTGACTCTGGTGATAATTAACCACGGCTGAAGGGTCACTACATGTACAGTGACACCGGTGATGATTAACTATTGGTTAAAGGTTAGTACAGTGAAACCTGTCTAATCCGACATGCACTGGGTGACAAATATTGTATCGGAATAGACAGGGTGTCGAATTGCACAGTGTTAAAAACAAGGAAAATACTAAAATGGGAAAGAAATTTTAACGTCGGAATTCACAGTGTGTCGGATTAATCAGGTGTCGGATTAGACAGTTTTCACTGTATAGTGATCTTGGTGGCTGGTGATGATTACCTACGGGTAAAAGGTTATTACAGTGACTATGGTGACGATTAAATCAACCTGTGTTTTTAATGGTCACCGTCACTTTACTAATCTTCCCTAATAATTACAGTCACTATGCTTACATTTTATTAATTCATGATCATCAATTCTCTGCCTATCTTCTTTCCTTGGTTAATGATCACTTTTTCCCTTTTAACCTTCTCTAATGATGGCCATCGTCAGTATGTAAGCTTACCCTTTACCCGTGGTTAATCGTCACCAGGATCACTCTACTAACCTTTAACCAATAGTTAATCATCACCAGGGCCACTATACAGGTACCAACCCTTCACCCGTTGTTAATCGTCACCAGAGTCCGTGTTCTAACCTTTTACCCGTGGTTAATCGTCACCAGGGTCACTATACCAACCTTTAACCAATAGTTAATCATCACCAGTGTCACTATATATGTACTAACCCTTCACCTGTGGTTAATCATCACCAGGGTAACTCTACTAACCTTTTACCCGTGGTTAATCGTCACCAGGGTCACTATACTAACCTTTAACCAATAGTTTATCATCACCAGGACCATTATACATGTACTAACCCTTCACCTGTGGTTAATCATCACCAGGGTAACTCTACTAACCTTTTACCCGTGGTTAATCGTCACCAGGGTCACTATACTAACCTTTAACCAATAGTTTATCATCACCAGGACCACTATACATGTACTAACCCTTCACCTGTGGTTAATCATCACCAGGATCACTCTGCAAACCTTTTACCCGTGGTTAATCGTCACCAGGGTCACTATACTAACCTTTAACCAATAGTTTATCATCACCAGGACCACTATACGTGTACTAACCGCTCATCCGTGGTTAATCGTCACCAGAGTCATTTTACTAACCTTTACTTGTGGTTAATCGTCACCTGAGTCACTGCACTTACCTTTACCAGTGATTATTTGTCACCAGAATCACTGTACTAACCTTTTACCCGTGGTTAATCGTCACCAGGGTTACTGTTAGAGTACTAATCTTTTAGCGTGGTTAATCGTCACCAGGGTTACTTTACTAACCTTTCACCCGTGGGTAATTGTCCCGAGGATCACTATAATAACCTTTTACCCGTGGTTAATCATCACCAGAGTCCCTGTATTAACATTTTAGCGTGGTCAATCGTCACCAGGGTTACTGTACTAACCTTTTAGCGTGGTTAATCGTCAACAGGGTTCCTCTACCAACCTTTTAGCGTGGTTAATCGTCAACAGGGTTACTTTACCAACCTTTTACCCGTAGTTAATCGTCATCAGGGTCACTGTACTAACCTTTTATTCGTGGTTAATAGTCACCTTGGTTACTGTAATAACCTTTTACCAGTGGTTAATTAAAGATTATTATTAAAACCTAATGTCTAATTTGAAGTATATGATATGTGGACATGAAGAAAATAATTAAGTAGCATTATTAACAGTACATTTTTAACTACTGTTATCTGTCTAGTTTTTGTACGGAAACGTGTTTTTGCATTTATCTTTTTTTTTTGTTTACCTGTATTATAGGTTGGAATCGTCGGTCGAACAGGGGCGGGGAAATCTTCCCTGACGCTTTCACTGTTCCGATTGATTGAGAGTGCTGGAGGTGAAATCATTATTGACGGCGTCCGGATAGCAGATATTGGACTCCACGACCTGAGATCTAAAATCACCATCTTACCGCAGGTTACCTCAGTAGTGTCTATAGCCTGTAAAGTGATTTGAAAAAGTTGAAATTATTTTTTTAAAACTCTCTTTGAAACAGAAGAGGCTAATATCATTAATATTGCTTTCAGATATTTTGACTTGAAAAATCCCAAAAATTATATATAACTTGTCATATGTCATGAATTGTATCATGATTATATGTATATATATGAATGTATTTAGGATCCAGTAATTTTCTCGGGAAGTTTGCGGTTGAACCTTGACCCCTTCAATGAATATACCGATCTCCAGATCTGGAAGGCCTTGGAGACCGCCCACCTTAAATCTTTTGTCCAATCATTGACCGGACAACTCCAATACGACTGTGGAGAGGGCGGAATGAACCTTAGGTAGGGATCATTGAAAATTTAGATTTTAACATTTATCATCAAATTTAAAACGATTAAAGCTACTACACAGTTTTAGAGAATGCAAAATTAAGTGATATAACACATGATGTATGGTTTTAAAATGCTTACTGTAACTTGTACTGACCTCCGATATAAAAAAGAATGAAAAAAAGGAATAATCATATCTTGAGTACCTTTCATATAATGGGTTAGGGTAAAAAGACATCTGATTATATTGCCAATACCAAGACATTAGTGTTTTTTGGGATTCAGTGTGGGACAGCGACAGTTGTTATGTCTGGCCCGGACGCTGCTGAAGAAAACTAACATTCTTATTCTGGACGAGGCGACGGCAGCCGTGGATTTCCAGACAGATGAACTTATTCAACAAACCATACAGCGAGAATTCCGGAACTGCACGGTCCTCTCAATCGCTCACCGACTCAACACCATCATGGACTATGACAGGTGAAAATCTAGATAGATTTAGTAAAAAGACAATATCTTTATTGACCTATAAATTAAAACACTATAAATACTACGACTGGTTTACACATTTAGGTATAAATATTCATCGTATAACTTGCTAACACTAAACATTTATTCATTAAACTTTTGTACTGGTATTCCGATATCATTTATGTAATATTTCTTTCACCTTTAAGTATTCAAAAGTAAATTGTATTCAGTTTTCAATTTATACAGGATTATGGTATTGGACAATGGTCAAGTGGTGGAATTCGACAGTCCGGAAAACCTACTGGCTAAAAAAGACAGTATATTTTACAGCATGGCTAAAAACGCGGGACTAGCTACGGACGTGACGGTTAGAGGCCACCGCCATACCCCCTCCCCAACCAAAGTAGAGACCCGAGACAAACCCAGCAGCAGGCCCGGGTCTGCGGCCAGCCAGGAGGGGTCTGGTCCCCGGGCATCCCCCGTACCCCCTCCCCCGACCACGCCCATCAGTCGGGTAGACAGTGAGGAGACACTGCCGCGATCCTCCAGTTCAGAGTTTGAAACTAATGACCACTCCCCAGGTCAGAGGAGAGATTCCACTACAGAGAACAAAGGGGAATCGGAGGTCTGATTCCAGGAGGGGAGGGGTCATTATTTACTGATCAAATTTAAGGAGAAAAGTACTAGAAGCATTATTCATCAACTTATCACCGATGGACATAATTCCATATTGGTACCCGTATCTTCATATGAAGAATAGTTCTATCGCAATTTTCAAGATTTTATCCAAAAATTGACGTCTTATAAGATTAGGAAATAATAATAGATT